TTAACCGATCCCCGTCAGCCTCAGGGTTGGTGCCCATAGTAGTGATCGGTGGTGGTCTCCGACGATGTCTCCCTGCCAGGCCTTTCTCCATGTGAGCCCCCATGGGCTGAGTGCTGTAGCTCTACGGTGGGTTGTTGCGGGTTTCTGGGGTCCCCCATGGTGTCTTTGCCCAGGTGGGGTTGTGATCACAGCGCGGGGAGGGGGGGTTTGGGTGAATAGTCCTTGGATTTGTCTCCTTTCAGTTAGGTGACTCACCGCTGGTGGGCTGTTGCTGACCCGCAGGGGCTTGCGTCGGGTTTCCCGCCTTCTCCTCCCTGCTTTCCATGCTGTAGTTTGGCCCCATCCTGGTTTAGACTGCTGCTTATGTTTGTTCCATCGTGGCATTTTCCCCGGGTCTCTCGGTGGGTGTTTGGGTGGACGGTGATGATGACCGGCCTGATGGTCTCGTGATCTATGTGTGGAGAGAGGCCTCTGTGCCTTAAGTGTATTTCTTGAGGTGCTGTAAGAAGTGCGCTTGGAGGTAGGCTGCGGTTGGACTGGTGGGTGAGACCGGGTCAGGCCCTGGGTGGCACTCCACCTGTTGTGGTGTTTCCACTTTCCCTCCAGTTTCCTCGTGGCTTGCTTAGGGTCTGCCTGGCCCAGATTCATGTCAATCCATCTATTGCTGTGGTTCGGTTCTTCGGTAGCACGCTGTGCCTCGCTCTGTAGAGTTAGTTCTTGGTATTTGGCCCAGAAGTCATCAAAGGCCCTGGCGATACCGTCCCTCTGGGTGGCCCGCATCTTGGAGGTTTGAGGTGAGATGGGTTTCGGTCCGGCGGCCATCTTGGCTCCTTCCGTGTGGGAATCCGATTCTGCAGGGCCCCTCAGGCTAGGACGGGGTGAGCATGCCTGTGCCTTCTGGGGGACCGGGATGACCCCCGCCGGTCCATAGGGGGGAGGGTGGGAGCAAATATGGGCTCCACGGTCAACCGGAGTGCAAGGAGAGCGGCCGTCTCCCCCCGCCTCGGCCTCCCGTAGGCCGCGCAGTTGCCTCATCGTGGAGTAGCTGTCCGTCGGCGGGTTTACCGCATGCACCGTGTCCCCGGACTGCTTGCTAATGCCCATTAGGTGAGTGGAGCAATTTGTCAATAGTTTTGGCTTGGTATTCTGTTGATTTGCTGGTCTTGGGCCCGGAGCTCGGGCAGCATGCGACCGTCCACTCCAGCAGTCAGCGGCTTCTGTGCCTTTTAATATAGCTTATTCCTTAAATATATAGATAGTGGGGCCTAAAAGTAGGTATACAGCTGAATCAATGAAATTCATCACAACATATTACAGTTTATGGGTACACATACACACTGACACACAACAAAGTGGCAGTTACATTTCAGGAATTTAAATAGCAGTGTGGGCATTTGCAAACGATAGCAGAATGTTGGCAGTTAAATGTAAGGAACTTAAATATGAGTTGGCAGTTGGAAAGAATAGTGAAATGTTGCAAAGTAGATGGAAGACATATAAAATAAACTATACTGTTTACCTACTTTTGGCCCACCCTGTATATACAGCATTGAAAGCAAGTTATGTAACATTCTGTACTCGATACTGATTCTAAATAATAATAATTTGCTACACTTTCCCCCCACCCCTTCATTTGCACTACCTAGATTTATGTTACGCGCTTGCAATTAAAGGGACACTCCAGGCACCCAGACCACTTCTGCCCACTACTCTTAACCCTGCAAGTGTAATTATTGCAGTTTTTTATAAACTGCAATAATTACCTTGCAGGGTTAACTCCACCTCTAGTGGCTGTCTAACAGGAAACCTGTGCTAGAGTGTCGCTGGACGTTCTCACACTGTGTGAGGACCTCCAGCGTCGCTCATTTCCCCATAGGAAAGCATTGAAAAGCATTTTCAATGCTTTCCTATGGGGAGTTCTAATGCGCAGGGGTTTTCACCCCTTCAGCAACCGGGGATTGGGGGGTGGGAGAGAGAGGGGACCTGCAGTTCCAGGAAAACAGATTGTTTTCCTGGCACTGGAGTTTCCCTTTAAATGTTCAGAACCAGCTGTGTTATTAATATTAAAGGACCACTATAGTGCCCTGAGGGTGCCTCCACCCTCAGGGTCCCCCTCCCGCCGGGCTGGATGGAGAGGAAGGGGTTAATCTTACCTATTTCTCCAGCGCCAGGCGGGGAGCTCTCGTCCTCTTCGGCTGAATGCGCATGCGCGGCAGGAGCCACGCGCGCATTCAGCCAGTCCATAGGAAAGCATTCACAATGCTTTCCTATGGACGCTGCCGTTTTCTCTCTGTGATTTTCACAGTAAGAAACGCGGAAGCCCTCTAGCGGCTGTCATTGAGACAGCCACTAGAGGCTGGATTAACCCTAACATAAACATAGCAGTTTCTCTGAAAAAGCGATGTTTATAGAAAAAAAGGTTAACCCTAGATGGACCAGGCACCCAGACCACCTCATTAAGCTGAAGTGGTCTGGGTGCCTATAGTGGTCCTTTAAGATACTTTACTTCTTGTTCTGTCTTCAACAGACATATGTGTTGTATCCTTCTTTTTGGATGATTGGCACTAGCAGTGTTATCTATAGATATCTTGGACAGCTGTTAGCTTTTGGATAAGGCTTGGTTCTATGTATGGCACTGTACTACTGTTTTACTAGATGCCGTTACCGTTATGTTCAACACAGGTTCCCTAGGAGGATATGCATAAATTTATACAGGTCCTTCTACCCGTTCGTGTTGCTTAACTTAAAGGGCAACACATCTATTGAAGCGATAGCTCTAGCCAATGTGATTACCTTAACCTGTTTGATGTGTAGGTATTCCTGATAAAAGTACTATAGTTAAATCCTTATCTGATTTTTTTTTTCATATTTGTCTCCATATTTTATTTATTTTTATGCCTAGATTGTTTGATGCCTAATCTAGCTCCCCAGGGAGCTATCACCACATGTTTTTATGTACTTCTGTAGTGTTGCTATTTTTTTTTTTTTTTGTAAATTCTTTATTTGTCGCTCAGGTGAGTACAATATACATACATACACCAAAACAGTGCACATGGGCATAGAAATAAGATGAACAATTTGAATAACGATACAGATAATGAGCATTGGTATCTTTCGGTTACGTAACATTTGCAAATGTCATAACAGCAATCATTGAGATGCAGGTAGGTTGAACAGCTGTAGGTGAGTGTGCATTTCTGAAGCTGAAGCCATAGCAATAATGACAAGCTAGTTAGTTAGAAACGAGCGGCTACATTCTACCCAACTTTAAAATTCTGCTGTAGATTTAAGCTTACTGGTCTGACGGAAAAGATGGGGTAATAGGTGTATTACTAAGAATATTTGACACGTGGAGCAGGGAGCAATTGCGTCAATGAGTAATGATAGTTGGCACATAGGTTATGGAACCTAGTATAGGGAATGATTTGCTTTATTAATTCTATTGTAATGGAATCCGTAATTCGGGTTCCAGTTCCTCACATGTTGCTGTTGCGACAGTGATTCCCTTAATCCTAGCGTTAGCCAGGAATCTCTTAGAGAAAGCTGCCTCGGGGGAGGATTGCGTAAGAAACGTTGGCTTGACTGGTTCTGTGCGTTCGTGTATCCCCCTGATCAGTTGTACGTTATGCCTGCGTCTAGTCGCCCCAGTCTGTCATGGGACAGGTGTTAGTTCCCATCTTCCCAGCAGGTAATTGTGTCTTGTTTTGAGAACTAGTTCTCTGCTTGTCTGGTCCCGTTCCATCTCTCTCAGTCAGCTGTTATATAAGTCGGTGACTCGTATCTATGGGAGCTGCTTCGTGTCGTGGCTATATATCGTTTAGCGACTCGTTCGGGGCCTTCCCGACTCTGGCCTCCTCGGGGGCAGGGCAAGCCGCATCCACCCAAGCCCTCAGAAAAGGAAAAGAAGTTACGTGAAGTTGATTAGATGCAGAGGGGAAAAGGGAAGGGGGGCAGGGGGGGGGGGAGGGGTCAGGAGTAGGGGTGGGGGGGGGGAGACATGATGGATAGCACGTGTCGGGGTGCGCCGGGTCCTCTCAGACCCCCGGTGTTATGGTGTGTGCTGTGCCTCCCTAGTTCCGGGACGTGAGAGGTATAGATACCATGGGGTCCAGATATCGACGTGCTTGGTGCTTCTTCCTATTAGTTCTGCGTACCGCGCCTCGGCAGTGTGTATTTCCTCAACTCTCTGTAGCCACTCCGTGACGGTCGGTGGTTGGGTCTGTTTCCATTTGACTGGTATAGCTGCTTTCGCTGAGTTAAGCAGGTGCCGTAATATCGATCTCTTGTATTGGGCTATCGAGCCTTCTGTGTAATGCAGTAGGGCCATTTCTATGCTAAAGTCCGGCAGATCTCCCAGAATTATCATCATTTCCCTTTGTATGTCCTCCCAATATGGCTTGATTAGCGCGCAATCCCACCAGATGTGCCGTAGAGAGCCTGTTTGGGATGCACACCTCCAACATGTATCTGAGGTTCCTCTGAAAATTCTGTGCAGTAAAGATGGGGTCCTATACCAGTGAGAGATTAGTTTAAAGTTAACCTCTTGATATCTGGTGCTTATGGAGCTCTTGTGCTGCAGGATTAATATCTGTTCCCATTGTGCCTCAGTGTACGTCCTAGCTGTCAGCTCTTCCCATTGCCTCTTAAACGCATTTTTCCGTGTGAGGTCTCCTGTTATCAATTGTTGGTAGATGAGCGATACCCTACCATCCGCGCCAGTGTTGGCCACGCAGATGTTTTCGAACCAAGTCTGTTCTCTGTGAATCGCTACCCTGTTGGGGAGGTTGAAGTAGAAATGCCGCAATTGTGTGTACCGAAATCTGTGCATCAGCGTCTGTTGTGTCGTCGTATTCCATTCTCGCAGGTTTCGCAGTCCGGTATTGCTCAGGACCTCGGACATAGGGATATACTCTCCTTCTCCCTCAATCGGCCAAGCAGATCGGTGTAGCCCCCCGCCTATCGCAGTATTGTGTGTTATCGGAATCAATGGGCTTGGTTGTGGGGAGAGGTGTTGGTTCCGTCTCAAGGTTGACCATGTCTTCAGCGTTTGTACAATGGGTGATGAATTGCCTAGTTTTGATGCTGCATCTGCCGAGCTGTGCCATGTATACATGTGAAGGGCTTTATTTGTGCTTTCTCTATCCAGTGCAGCCCACAATTTGTTTTCAGACGCTACATGCCAGTCCCTAATCCGTTGTAAGACCGCGGCCTGGAAGTATTTGCGTATATCGGGTAACGCTAGCCCGCCCCAGTTCTTTGGTAGGCATAGCTTGTCGTAGCTGAGTCTTGCTCTCTCTCCTTTCCAGACATATTTTATTACTGCCGATTTAAGAGTTGCGAAAAATTCTGATGGTATGTGCCAGGGAATGGTGTTAGTGTTGCTATTTTTAACTGATACAATAAAAGTTATGTTTTAATATTTCTCTGTGTTGAATATTTGTTTTCCATATTGGAAAAGGTCAAGTAGGGAGCTGGATTCAAGGAACGTGGTCAGTCTGTGTTGTTTAAGTGACTTAAATGTAAAAAGTTGCATGGTGATGAGATGGTATTGGATATTTGATTCAAGTGTAACATATTTTTAAAGGACCACTATAGGCACCCAGACCACTTCAGCTTAATAAAGTGGTCTGGGTGCCAGGTCCAGCTAGGGTTAACCCTTTTTTTTATAAACATAGCAGTTTCAGAGAAACTGCTATGTTTATGTGAGGGTTAATCCAGCCTCTAGTGGCTGTCTTATTGACAACCGCTAGAGGCGCTTGCATGCTTCTCACCGTGAAAATCACAGTGAGAAGACACCGCGCATGCGCATTCAGCCAAAGAGGAGGCGGAGAGGAGGAGGAGAGGTCCCCGCCCGGCGCTGAAGAAAGAGGTAAGTTTAACCCCTTCCTCCCCCCTCAGCGCCACGGGAGTGGGATGAGGGTGGGGGCACCCTCAGGGCACTATAGTGCCAGGAAAATGAGTATGTTTCCCTGGCACTATAGTGGTCCTTTAAAGTAGAAACTGATGGTAGGAGCATGTATAAATTGGTTGTGAAGGATACCAAAAGAGAGATGTGCAGTGTAAAAAGATTGTATAAGAGAGAGAATCAAAGGGACATTTATTGAAGTAGAAGGACAGAATATGTATAAAAATATCCTCCTTGGTATTTGGTGCTTAACCATTGTACAGCACTACGGAATTGGCTGGCGCTATATAAATAATAAAATAATAATACGAAAGAACAAGAGACAGGGTGCAATTTTGCTAAGCATGTGGGTGGGAGGCTGGTGAGTTTTCCTGGCTTATTTTGTCAATTGTTGTAACAAAGTAGAATGCAAAGTAATATTAATGGCGAGAGAGGATAATGGGGTAGGAGGAATTAAAATGTTAAAGATAATGGTCTTTGAGAAGTGAAAAGGCATTTTGGAGACTATGCAGAGATTGGAGAGGATGGACTAGTAATGTGAATGGGATAGCTGTCCCATGAAACAGGAAACTAAAGGAGCAATGCATAGAGAGGAATGTGGAGGTATTGCAACAGGCTGGAGTGTTCATGGGAATGTTGAAATCACTGAGAATCATCAGGCAACACTCTAAATTGGCAACACTTTCGAATGTGCAGCACATTCCCAGTTCACAGGTGTCCCAACAGTTCCAATTTTGGCTGGGTAGTCCATATTTTTGGATACTTTACTGTCCCAATTTTGTTCACTACTGTCCCCCCTCCTCATATACAATAACCCTAACTCTATTAATTAGCCACTAAGTTTAATACACAGATACATGCAAAATCTCAATTAGCTATTGTCACTCACAAATACATATATAATTAAAGACACCCGCACATATATTGTTAATAATAGAAAGAGTTCTACACATAACCATGTGCATTATTTTGTCTTCCATGCTTTTGTTTATTTATCATTGGGGGGTTTTCTGCTTGCTGAGTACATAGATATATCCTAGTATTTCTATGTTCTGGTCACTGTGCCTTACTTCCATTTTTTATGATTCTCTAGAAGTCTAACATTTATTATTTGATTTTTTTTTTTTTTAAATGGGATTGGCTATGGTACCAAGTTATACCAGAGTTCACCACTGGATGGCAACATAATGTCAACTTAAAGGTAACTATATTAAAAAACCAAACAAACAACCTGTATTCCTAACACTATATGTCCCTCTGCCTCTGCAGTGTCCCCCACTGTCATGAACGGGTTACATATAATTCACTTACCTAATTCTAGCACTGAGGTCCCTCAGTGCTGGATCGGGATCTATCTCCTGCGATGTCAGAGATGGGGGAACCTTACGAGAATGAGCATTAGTGCTTCCCCGTAGGAAAGGATTAAATCAGTGCTTTTCTATGATTTTTTTCATCATCATGCAAAGCGTAAGGACATCCAGCGTCATTTCACGGCATAAAACTAAGAAAAAAAACTAGGAAGCACCGCTACTGGCTGCTTTGAAGACAGCCAGTGGAGGAGGAGTTAACCCTGCAATATAAATTATTGCAATTTCTCAGAAACTGCAATAACTAACTTTGGAGGGTTAAGGGGACAGAGGCACCGAAGACACACCATTTCAATGAGATGAAGTGGTATGGGTGCTTATAGTGTCCCTTTAGGATGCTATTTTATTAATTACACAATAAATTCCTGTCAGCCCTGTTTTACGAACCCCTGAAATTCTAAGGAATGTATTAACCCCTTAAGGACCGAGGACGGTTCAGGACCGTCATCGGCATTTTTGCCTTGAGGACCGATGACGGTCCTGAACCGTCCTAACGGTCAGAGCTACTTACCTGATCGCCGTCGTTCCCCCGGCGGCGATCAGCGTGGCTCCGGTTGTGGGGAGACTGCCTGCAGCCCAGACAGTCTCCCCACGGCAGATTAGGACCCCTATGGCCATGTGATCGCTTAACACAGCGATCACATGGTCACAATAGGTGTCCAGGTGTCTGCCTGCAGGGGGACTGTCTGTGCTGACAGGCAGTCTCCCTGCTAGTGTAAAATCAAAAAATAAAATAAAGTTAATGTTAATAAAAAAAATAAAAATAATTATATATGTGTATATATGATATATAGACATATATTATATTTATATAATATATGTTTATATATCATATATATATAATGTCATACTAAGTGTATTTTTATATTAATATGTACTTATATTAATATAAAAATACACTTATAATTAAATTACACACGTATATATATAATATATATAATACCTATATATATTGTATATATATATTATTATAAAATATAAATAATAAGTAATTTAAATTAAATAAAAATTTTTTTAAATAATAAAGAAAAATTAAAAAAAAATTATATAGCTATATGAAATTTTATTCTAACTGTATTTTAAAATTAATATATATATATATTTATATCAAAATACACTTAGAATGAATTTGTATATATATCTATGTATATAAAAATAAATAAAAATAATAAGAAATATACATACGTCCATATACAAAATTACATAAATAATTATATAAATATACACGTAGACTTCAAATATATAAATATGCATATATATTTAAATTCTACGTGCGTATTTATGTAATATTTTTACATAATTCAGTAATTTTATTGATTGCAATTTGAGGGACCTGCCTGCCAACCCAGGCCGAAATTCCAGAGAATTTAATTTGCTAGCACTGTATTTTACCCTGTAACGTTCTACGACACCCTAAAACCTGTACATGGGGGGTACTGTTTTACTCGGGAGACTTCGCTGAACACAAATATTAGTGATTCAAAACAGTAAAACATATCACAGTGATGATATTGTCAGTGAAAGTTACTTTTTTTGCATTTTTCACACACAAACAGCACTTTTACTGATGATATAATTGTTGTGATACGTTTTCCAGTTTTTAAACACTAATATTTGTGTTCAGCGATGTCTCCCGAGTAAAACAGTACCCCCCATGTACAGGGTTTATAGCATTTTTGAAAGTTACAAGGTCAAATATATGGGTCAAATATTTTTACATTGAAAATGGCCAGGTTGGTTACGTTGCCTTTGAGAGCGTATGGTAGCCCAGGAATGAGAATTACCCCCATGATGGCATACCATTTGCAAAAGAAGACAACCCAAGGTATTGCAAATGGGGTATGTCCAGTCTTTTTTAGTAACCACTTGGTCACAAACACTGGCCAAAATTAGCGTTCAATTTAGTTTTTTTACTTTTTTCACACACAAACAAATATGAATGCTTACTTTGGCCAGTGTTTTCGACTAAGTGGCTACTAAAAAAGACTGGACATACCCCATATTGAATACCCTGGGTTGTCTACTTTAAAAAAAATATGTACATGTGGGGTGTTATTCAGATTTATGACAGATAATAGTGTTACAATGTCACTATTGATAAATTTTAAAAATGTATGTTTTGAAACCGCAATATCCTACTTGTACCTATAGCCCTATAACATGCAAAAAAAAGCAAAAAAGCACGTAAACACTAGGTATTTTTAAACTCAGGACAAAATTTTGAATCTATTTAGCAGTTTTTTTCATTCGCTTTTGTAGATGAGTAAAAGATTTTTCAAGTAAAAGTCAAAAAACATGTATTTTTTTCAATTTTTCATCAGATTTTTGTATTTTTTTTAAATTAAAATACATGAGATTATATAAATAATGGTATGTAAAGAAAGCCCCTTTTGTCCTGAAAAAAACAATATATAATTTGTATGGGAACAGTAAATGAGAAAGCGGAAAATTACAGCCAAACACAAACACCACAAAAGTGTAAAAATATGCCTGGTCGCAAATGCACAACATCGCAAAAACAGTCCAGTCCTTAAGGGGTTAATATATGCTTTGATTGAGATGTTTAGTTGTTATTTTAACATATACAATTATTGCATGAGATAACCAGCGCTACGCAATTTGATTGCACTATATAAATAATAATAATTGTATGATTAGGATATTGTGTGTGTGCAGCAGTGAGAGCCTCGGCGCTGGAACAAGAAGAGTTATTAAGGGTTTGTTTTTTTTTTTTTAATTCTTTATTTTTTCGCAGTCAACTTGTGATAGACATTGTGTATGACATATTCAATAAAGCATAACATTGCGGTTAACCATTTACATGCAGTTGGTAGGATATCAATGTAGCCTGCGGTTTTTATTTTTATTGTAATGTAGCGTGTTACTGCCATTTACTTGCCTCCAGTGGTAGTGGAAATATATATCTAGGGCATGCATGGCCGTACATTAGCAAAAATGAGTGAGAAGTAGTGTGTCTCTAGAGCGGGCAGGACGCTGTAGGAGTGCAGCTCCACATGGTAGAGTGGGTGTTAGTGGATACTAGCGTGGAGCTGGGGGGGGGTTGGTGGTCTTTAGGGAGCCTGTGTTCCCGGGTTAATCCCGGTCGCGGCTCATTTAGGCTTGTCTGGTGGGAAAGATGGTTACGGTCCTTCCCTGCTTGCGTTGTATATGTAGATGCGTAGCATTTAAGTGTTGTCTGAGTAAAGGAAAATACAATAACAACTAAAAAACTTATGCTGTGCTAACTGTGCATCTGTAAGATGCTGGCCCCATGAGGCCCGTATGTCGTAATAGGTGAGGAAACAAGATTTAAACTAAAATAAACTAAAATAAACAAAAATAAACAGAGAAGGCAGTCTCCAGAGTCAAGTATTTGCTCGGCTGGGTAAACTCCTACTCGCCGGGATGAACGGGATAGCGTTAGCCGGGTCCCAAGCTGTCGGTGCAGCCATTGCAGTGCGGTTCAAACCCAGTGTGGTCAGAGTTGCCTCGATCTCCGATGCCTCAGTCACCCTGATCTCTGTGTTCTGATGCTGGATGAGTAGCGCTCGTGTTGGGCCCCAGCGGTATTTGAGTCCCTTCGACGATAATATGGATGTGAGGGGACGTAGTGTTTTTCGCCACTGTAGGGTCTGGCGGGAGAGATCAGAATAGAAGGTGATTTCCATCTCCTCGAACCGGAACGGGGGTTTGCCTCGCACTGCACTCATAACGGCTGCCTTGTCCTGGCCATTTTGAAATTTGACCAGTATGTCGCTGGTGTTGGAGGCAGTGGCTGAGGGAGGCCTGGGGAGCCGAAACATCCCATCCAGTGTAATGCCCCTGGCTTGTTTGGGAGAGAGAAGGGCTGTGAAGAGCCTGCGCATGCAGTGTGGTAATTCTGCCTGGGTGATATTGTCTGTGAGACCCCTGATTTTCAGGTGTTTCCACCTTCTTCTATCCTCCATGGCTGCAAGGTGGTGGCTTAGAGTGTTGTGAGCTGTGGTGAGGGTGTCAATCTGGGTCTGTAGCTCCAGGATTTGGGCTGTATGTGTTGTGGTGGTCTGTTCAACTGCATTTAGGCGCCCATTGAATCCCTTAAGGTCCTCTCTAACCTGTGAGATTTCAGACGACAGACTTTGACGGAGGTCCACCAGGAGGCCGGTGAGTATTTCTGTGGTGAGCGGTGCTGACCCTTTGGCTGCTGGCTGGGCAGGTTTTGGAGGCTGTATTCCCTGCTCCCCCAGATTGTGAAGGGAGTAGTCTTCTGATTCATCAGAGAAATCCTCCAGGTCCGCCGCCATGTCAGTTCGACCTGCTCCATGCGGCCCTCTCAGGAGGTCGCCGATATCGGCGCAGAATCTGGGTCTATCTGGTCGGGGTTTTTTGGTCTTCCTCCCCATCGTTTGTGGTATCGTCTGGTGCTTATTGGAGGGGGTATACACCCCGTATTTCAGCTGGTTTTAGGCGTTTTTTGCCGCTTTGTCGGAGCTCAGAGAGATTGCGACCGTTGCTGTTGAGCGCTAGCTCCGCCCCCCGTTATTAAGGGTTTTTAACACTTTTATTGCTGAACGGGGGTTGCCTAATACTACTAAGAACAGGGACAATATAACGTTAGGAAAACATTTATATTCAAAATATAAAAGTGTTCCTGAAACTGGGGATGGATTGTTAATTATTCCATTGAGCTATGGCTTTTGAAATATAGTAAGTACTCGCAGGCTAATGGAGATCTCCATGGAGAATCCAGTACACAGATGCATTGTATTACATGTGAAAAGTCCCAGAACATGATAAAATGTTTAAAACCTGCTATTTTCCCACACTGAGCCCCAGCTCCTCAGTGGAATAATTTTGTTCTAGGGACACTGTTCTGCTATGTGACAATAGGGGTAGGAACAGAAGCAGCATGGATATATTCCATTACTCTTTCCCTCACTATCTGTGGGTGCGTGCCTCTGTTTGTCTTAACAAATGTGTGTATATAATATATAATTATGTAGGGTTACCTAGGTTAAGGGTTAATAATATATAATATATATAATGCTACAGGTGTATCAGTATACTGGAGTGTGTAGGCCAAACAGCAGGTTGGTTTCTTGAAACTTTAGCTTTAACTTTAGTATCTACGAATTCAGATCTCTAGTCCCAGATGTGAGAAGACAACATGGCCAGTGTTCCACACTAGATATCGTAGTGAGCAGTTCAGTATGCAATAAATGAAGGAGCAGGTACATTTCATAAAGCATAGTTGCTATGCATGTATAACAGAAATTTCTGGTTAAAAAAAAAAAAGTAAAAAATTACACTGTGGATGTTTAGTAACTGATGTTTTTCCACTAAAACTCCAAACATGTTTTAACTATCATGATGGATTAGCAATATAAAATCAGCTCTATCCTTCTGAACATCGTCTTAAAAGGGATTTCAGAAGGACAAGCAAGGTTGTTTATCTGATATTCTGTATTACACATCGAGTGGTCCCTTCCTGTAGGTTTGCATAATGAGCTATTATTGGACATGAAATGCTATTCTTGCGTGTTACATGTCTAACATGTCATAGAAGCTGTAACGTTGTTGTTTTTTTTTGTTCTGTTTTTTTCTGAAAGTGCAGCTAGAGAGTCAATACCCTAGTTAACTGTGTAACACCCAGTTTAAAAGGGGCATTAAGCACCAAAAGCATTTAATCTTAATGAAGTTGTTTTGGTTAACATACCTTGTCGCTTTTATCCAACAATGTAAAATGAATTTTTCAGAGAAACAGCAATGATTACTGTGGCAAACTCCCCTTTCCAAGTGAGTTTGCCACGATCTCCTGGAGGAGCCTGCTTGCCAGCCTCCTGCCCACAGACTATGTACCCTGTAAAATGTAATGTAAAAGTCTCCGTTCGTGTATTTGGACTGTATGGTTTGGGGAACTGAACAGCCGCACAAACCGGAGACCACCCAGGAGCTTGTAAAGCCTAATTGCTACTTTATATCAATTTCCACTGCAGTGTTCTACTTGTTCGTCTGGGTGGCCACATTTCCTATGGACGACCACAAGGGGGCGGCCCTCTTGTTCGCATGAACACAGGCAACGGTGTTTGGTCGTCGAGTTCATGGAACTATTTTCGGACACTGTTCGGATTTATAACATTTAGGAAGACACTGTTTGGTGGAAACGTTCTCATGAACAAGGGGAACAAGCTTCAGGGTAGGAATATTGACTATGTTCGGTAGTTTGTTCATTTTTAAACTACGGAACTAAACCGACTAAACCGTGTGCGGTCGCTGAACTACCGAACTAAACCGTGTGCGGTCGCTGAAATTAAGAATTCCAGTATATTCCCAAACCCCTGAACCGATCTGGGTGATTTTTGGATATCTTGGTCACCCAGATCGGGGCTGTCAGGGGATGTAACTTTTAGGGTGTTTTATGTAATTTTAAGGTACTTTTGGCGTGTTTGTGAAATGTGTGTTTTTTTGTACCTGGAGATAATTGAGTCTTGTACATTTCCTGACTTAATTATCTCCCAGGCATAAGGGAGGGATTATCATGTTTTCTGTGGGAGTGTCATTGGCATGCTCAACTGTATTTGAAAATGTATAAAAGCAGGCCAAATTAAACGTATTCCAGCTTGTACTTCGAGAACTATGTGTCGTCTAGTTACTGGGAGAGGAAAGGACTACTCCTTATTCACTGTTCCAGTGTGGAAGACTCAATGGGGAAAGTCCTTGTAAAGACTAGAGCTCCCAGGACTAAGTGTCTTCCAGTGCCTGGGGGTGTCTAGAGCGAATTCCCCATTCGGCTCCAGCAGGGAGCGGTTCAAGCCATGCCGACTGTGGGCAGAAGTGCTGCTGTTTGTCCCCTGTTCCAGCTACGAAGCGGTCCTTGGCGGAGGTACCCAACCAGGGGAACAGGAAGCTCTGTTACAATTAAATTTTTCCTAAAACACTCTTCAGGTAGCTACCAGGCACTCATGCTCAGCATAATGCCAATAAATGTTGTGAATGCTTCTCTATACATCCAATTGCAGAGATCGCATGCATGTGTAATAGTTCCTAAAGCTTATGAATTGGACTGAGGTCATTACAAGTGATGTTCTTGGAAGAAGAAGAGTGACTTCCCAGCTAAGTATGTATAGGCACTGAATCATAGCTGAGTAAAAATTGCTTCTTTTTAAAACCCCCCCCACAAAAAAGCATTTTATAAGGAACATTATAATGGTCAAAGCTCCAAGAGCTGACTTCGATGCCACCTCCTTGCGTAACCGGGGCCGGACACAGTCTAAATCACCTGCTTCTCATAATGAAACCTGGGATTGGACCAACTGCCATCTTGGAGCGCATGTACACAATCTGGGCTGTGAAGGGGAGGGAGTTTTTTTTTTTTAGAGAACTGCCAGGAGGAAGGTGAGAGTGCAGATGGATCGGCACATGGAAGGAGGGGAGAACTAACTTCCCTTTACAGGTGCTTTGCCTGAAAGGGGACGATTTTCATGTTTGTTGTCAGCGTGTAGTGTGCACTGACAACAGACATAATTTATACACAGAATTGACATTAGGCAGTTCAGAACAGAACTGGACTGCCAATGTCACGTGCTGAGGGTGCAATTTAGATTCACTATTGTGGTGGTTACAATAGCTCACAGACCTCAGACCAGACGTGTGCGGTTGCCCGTGAGCACAAAGTCAGAGGCTTCTCAATGAAAAGCCTTTGGTTATTTCCCTGTGAAGAAAGAAAGTCTCTTCTGGGGAAAAATGGGGAGGGCTTGCAGCAGCCTTTGCAAATTCTTTTAAGATATACCCCCAACGTATGCATGCATTGAAAATTCCATGACAATGAAAGGGTTAACCCCCCAATTCTCTCTCTTCCTGCAACGACAAGCTGATGGAGGTCCTATTGCTTATGTGCGGTGCAAGTCTTGCCCATGGAAAAACATTAAATCAATGCTTTGCTATGGATATTTTGAAGACGCTGGATGTTCTCGTTCCATGGAGTTAAACTTTGTGGCAAGCCAGGAAGTGAGGGAGACAGCCACTAGACATTGTCGCAACCCTGCAATGTAAACGTTGCAGTTTCTCTAAAACTTCAATGTTTTTACTTGCAGGGTTAAGGATTCAGGAGTATTTCAACCAGACCACTTCTATGAGAAAGTTGTCTGGGTGCCTATTGTGTCCCCTTTTAAAGGAATACTATAGCAGAAGGAATACAAACATATATTCCTAGGGCTATTGTATTCTAGTCTCTATTTAGATTCAGGGCAAAAATCACTCTAATACCCATGCTTCTCATCTTGCATCATCACCAACAGGCTTTTCTTCATTCCCTTTTTGTCCAATACAGTGGATCTCAGAGACTTCCTTATGAAACACATGCACGGTGAGCGTGGTGCTTGTCCAAATGCTGCACATATGAAGCATTGAAGCGAATGCTTCCCTATAAGCAGTAGTTGATTGCATTTCCACCCTTGTGTACATTTAATGGCCCATAACTAAGCCAAACTCTTTCATTGCAGTGAAAGCGCCTCTAAGGCGTGTCAATAAGAGGTGTGTTAATGCCTTCAATGAAATATTGCTTTTTCTACAAAATGGCAGTGTTTTCATTGCAAGGCTAAAATGACAGGGGCATTGCACCCAGACTAATGTATTGAGATTAAATTGTCTGTGTGCTTTTAGTGATTAAATTGTCTGTGTGCTTTTTAATGAAGCAGTTTTGGTGTAGATCATGCCCCTGCAGCGTCACTACTCATTTGCCATTTTTGGAAATCACTGTATTTATGCTGCCCTAGCCATATCTTCCCTGACTGTGACAGACTCCATAAAAGAGAGGTTTAATTTCCACAACAGCGTGTTTTCTTGAGAAGTTCTTATCAATTGAACTTTAATTATACACAAGAGGCTGCTGTGGGCTCTAGCAAGCAATTGACAAAGCAAGAGAAAATAACTTCTAAATTAAACATACTGTGCAAGAAAAGCTGAAAAAAATAACATTTTCATTTTCTTCCCTTGTGTAAGTGTTTTGGGAGGCTTTTTGAGTCAGTCAGGGAAGGTGTGGCTAAGGCCGCAAAAACAAAGGTATTTAAAGGAACATTTTAATGGCAGGAATAGCAACATGTGTACATCAGATTATAGTGTTATGCTTACTAGATTCCCTGCACCTGAAATAAAAACAAAATAGAATTACATGACTTTTTAATTCCCCAGTGCACCAGCCCAGCACTGCGCCTCCTTACTACGGTTGCTTTCCAATCCTTCCACATAGGGGGGAATAGTACACACGTGGGAAGTAATTGCCATATCATTACAAAGATGCCTTGCCTCAATTGGGAGCTTTCAGCATCTTGTGTTACAGCCGAGATTGCTACATTAAGCTGTAGTGGTTCTGCCTTTAACTCTGTTTTCCACAGGGAGGAGATCAATGCCATTAATGGAAGAAAAGTACATCCTTACACTAATGGTATCAAGCTCCTCAGTTTCAGTGGCCATTATAGGAGGTAAATAACAAAAGATAAAAATATTTTGGTAAGTATATCTTTTATTCTGTGCACTTGCCAAGTCTTACAGTACAGTTTTGCATGCCTACCAGAAGCTGTCACCCTTGTGTTTTGCACTTAACAGCACCCTTCTTATGTTACCTTTACTGATGGTGGAAAAATACTCTGTGAACATATTGAGAACTTTTTTTTTTTTTTATAAGTAGTTAAAAAAAAATTTAATTCAAATTCTCATTTTAATATTGTGAGCTTCAGTATGCTTTTAAAGATAAGTGGCAGGTTGTGTCTGTTTGTTTGCATGTAAATATGATTACAAGCAATTTTAGTAAGCACTTTTAATCCATACCCATCAAATGTGATGAGCAATCACCATAATTAATCTCCCTAATATAAGTACTCAACCTGGAGTTGTATGAATGGAATTTATAGATTAAGTCCTCATGAACATGACATTAATAAATATTATGTACCATAGACACTTATGTGTGATGATTACACTTATCTTCCTTAAATAGGTACTTTGAGCACCTTGACCACTGCAGTGAATTTAAGTAATTTCATTTGAAGCGGCTCTGTAATTTGCAAAGACGCCAAATGGTTACTTTGCCACATAGAGTCTGGTGGCTATGGAATGCAGGAAAAAGTGAAATTACTTACCTGAAAAAATCCCTCACGGCTGCTGCTGCCACCAGCATTGATTGGAGCCTCTTCAGCTCCTGGTGCTTTATTTGCCTGGAGCCCACATCAGCGCTTTCCTGTTGCACATGGGAGTTTGGGAGTATAATGCTCAGGTCTAAAGAGGATCCAGTGGGAGGTCAATAGATATTGTCTTGCAATGATTGAAACAATGCCTTATACTCTCAGCCTTCCCCAACTGCTGGGTAAAGTAACTAAACTTGACAAAGGAAGCTCTGGCTTTTTTCAAGCAGCAAAAAAAAAAAAAAAATATAAGGGAAAGTAGTCCCTATTAACCTTTATGCATTTTAAGAGAAATAGATTGAAAAATTAGAACATATTACGAGTAAAGAAGAAGAACAGATTGAATTAAGTATAAGGTGACTGTCACTTTAAGTACGTATGCCAAGACCAATTTCTGTCTGCAGTGGATGGGGCTGCAAACAGAAATTGGTCTTGGCACAGGATTGAAGGAACGTTTTTGTAAAAGGGACGGGAGGACCATTTAAGGGTTTCTCAATCCAAAAAACAGCTAAAGTAGAATTTTAAATGCAAACTTCCACTATTCAGATGGCAGCATTTTTAATTACCTGCCTTGGTGTTTGGCAAGAGTTCAAGAGGCAAAGTTGTTATTTACAATTTCTAAGTTGTTTACCCCCAGAGGTCAATTTGGCCTGCATAGTATTTCACAATAAACCTACAGCAAATCTGATTCCTGGAATAGTCAAGAGTCTATTACAGAGAAGTAAACAACATCTTGCATAACACCCCAAGGAGTTATATGATCATATAAAATAAAACACTTGTAAAACACTATGGGGGTGTTTTATATAAGTGGTATGGCTGACTACACTTCAAAACGTTGTCATGTTTTCTGTTTGCTACATTGTTGAGTCCATCTCTGCCACATTGTTCATGTTGGTGTCCTTCTCGACAGTATCATCCAGCACTTCCACCATTTTGTATTTGTTGTATCAAGTTTTTGAAGCTGTTGATGTATTTATTTAAAGTCCCTTTTTTAATTGTATGAGATATTTTTCAGCCATTTTTTTGAAAGGCAGATTTTCTGAAACGGTTAAGCTGTCTACATTAACGGACTTTTGTTTAAAGGGACACTATAGTCCCCAAAACACCTTCAGCTTAATCAAGCAGTTTTGGTGTATAGATCATGCAGAGGCTTCTCTCTAACTAGGCAGCTCTCTAAGGCAGGCTGACACGTCGGGCCCTTGGTCCATGACCGAGGGCCCAACATGCCGTAGGGTGAGAGGTCCCTCCAAGCAGTCTGCCCTGGGAGGAGAGCGCCTACAGTCTGCAAAGTGTCTCATAACCTCCAGCAAGTCAGAGCATTGCAATGGGTTACCACGGCAATGCTCTGAATTTTTTGGATCGCGATTTCTCCATCACATGGGCTGCAGCTCATTCCCGGCAGACGGGATAGGAAGCCCATCGGACCACCAGGGAGCCAGGACACTGGTGTATTTGTACATGTGGCAAACCTAGCCACTTATAGACTATTATGCATATATATGCCTGACTGTTCCCTTTGTGTCTCCATCCAGGAGAGACCTAACCCCTCTTAACTGTATTTGCATAACCAGGTTTCACATACTGTTCCTATGTATTCGTATGTTTCAAGCGTACGAATACCACTAACCCGAGGTTTCAAGCTTCACAAACAGGGGATTCCAACCCTGTTCGTGAAACGAACAAAATACTGAATAAGAGACCACCTCAGAAGGTCGTGTGCCGCTCATTAGTAAACCGAAACATTGTATCCATCCTTAATCAGTGTTCTGTGTGCTGCCGCCGTTCGTATACCGAACGCGTGGTGGCGGCCATCTTTGCTTTGTTAGATTTAAGCGGTGTTTGGTCGTCGAGTGCCTGGAACTGAAATCGGTCACTTGATTTTCAAACACCGCTGAACTTCCATAGCGTTCGGTAATCTCTCGCCTTCAGGAGATTAAACCCATTTGTGAGTTTTCTCTGTTAAGACCTCGTTCGTATACATGTATATTGTAAGCGGCATTCGGTTGTTTCTGCAGGGATCAGAGCGGTACTTCGGTATATTGTACCGCTTGATCCCTGCAATCTAACGAGGGGTAATTCGGTGGAATATAAGGGGAAATGCCAAAGTTATATATTTTAATGTAAAAGACTGTATTTTCTGTACCAGGAGATAATCCCATTCTTAGTGCATTCTGGGGCATCTCTCTGGTACAGCAGTGTTTGATGGGAAACCCGCTTGTAAAATCAGTCCCCCATGTAGTCCACTGTTGTAAAATCCCTGGAATGTGACTTTGGAGACCCCTTACATTTGTAACCACATAAATACCGTGACCTGTAATTAAAACCTCAGTTGACCTCCAAGCTATGTGTCATCTAGTTCTTGGGAGAAAGGGATTATTACTACGCTACCTGTGTGTTACCTGCTTATCCTGACTACCAGTGGAGATACCGTGGATTAACCCCTACTACTACGCTACAGTACACCTTCCCTCCCACTGCCACCAATCCCTCTAAGGACTGTAGAGAATTGTTAGAAATGCAAGTCCATAATCTCCCCGCCCCCCCAATACCCTTCTTATAATATTTCTCAATTGTCTACTTTTGTGGATGTACTCATTGGTAAAATTACCATAAGAAAACAAAACCACATCCAAAAGAGGAGTAATATGTGGTAACCACTAAATATTTTCCAAAGCAATTTATAACTTAAAGGAACTCTATAGTGTTGGGAGTGCTTGTTTAGGTGCCTGCCCCCCTCTTATCAAGTTAAATGTTTTTTTGTTTTTTTTTAACCTCACCATTTCTCACTATAATTTAGATTCTCAATAGATTCAATTGAGCCAGAACCTCTACAGTATCGTATGAAACAAGAAGACATGCCAAGCACAGTTTTGTAAGTATAATGACCAAACATGTTTGTGCACAAGGACTCTTTCACAGTTTAACAGACTGCTGAATCCAACAGCCAATATACAGATTTGCAGACAATACAGAATGTAACTGGCACAATGAGGAAGCATTAGCTGCAATTGGTGATGGTGATTGCCAGCTGACCATGTTTAGCCTGTCACATCACCAACTGCTGGCATGAACTGGCCTGGCTAGAATGAAATGTGCAATATCTGCCTTAGCTCAAATAGGGTTGCTTAGTGGAGGGACATGCAAACTTGCAGGTCGCTAATGGCCCACAATGGACAGCTTTGCAGTCCGGCAAGTACATGCTTAGTGTTAAAGCCAAGTAGGCACCTGCTTTCTCCACATTGCAGGTGCCTACTCTGCTAAAATTTACCTGGCCTCAGTCTTCCTGCTCCCTCGCGCGTGCCATCTGTAGTGATACCCGACATCACTCAACTGCACACGTGAGGTAGCAGTGAGCAGCAGAAAGATCTCCAGATGGGAGATCCCCACTGGACCCCAGGGATAAATACAATTATGCGAGTATGCAAGAATGTGTGTCTCGGTCAGTGAGTGTGTGTATCTGTGAAGGACCTGGAGGTGCAAGGAGACACGCAACACCACATTCCATGACACTGATGTGCTCCACCTTCAAAGGGTTTGAAGAAGTAGTGGGAGAATCCCCTTTGGCACAGGGTGCGGATTGCGCCATTTGGGGTAAACCAGAGGCCGGACTCCAGAGTTACATACTGGAAGCGGCAATGTGAGTGGTCTGCTTGTTGGCTAGAGGGAGGTGCTGGGATTTAGTATATGTGGGGGGCGTGTTACGACACCCCTGGCACAAAGGAGTGAAACCGCCATTTAGTTAAGCTTCCCCTTTCGCAATACTGCAAGCTCCATTCGGATATACTTCCACCGTACGAACTGCGCCAATCTCCCAAACGGGACCCGTACGGATGCTCCAAGCTCCTGAACAATAATCCACGAATCGCGGTTAACAGCCGAATAAATATATCCTCCAAGCGGCTTACGGTTCCAGCAATCAGTCTCTAACCGTGTGTAGTAAATCGCATTGAGGGTAAAAAACAAGAACTGGCTTTACTGTGTGGGCTACCCGCCCGTATTTATGCAGGTCTCCCACTTGGTGGACACTCCCCTAGGGGGCTAAATGGGAGACTAATGACGGACAGACATATGGCACTTTCAGACATAAAGCACATAATATTCCCATAATGCATCCCGGTTTCCTCTCCAAGGACAGAGGCAAATCACCATTTTAAATAAGACAAAAAAAAAAAAACACATGAAAATAAATAATTACACAACTACCGAACATATTACATTCGTGCAACGTATCCCCAGATAGCCTGGATCTGAGTGTATATTCTTAGCGAATAGCGCTCAGATCCCATACGCACAGTTCAATCGCCATGGAGTCAAGTTTAGTAGATTTAGTAGAGGGGGCTGCTGTAGGTTTTTGTTTATACTGTTCTTTTCAAAATAAACCTACGTTTCTATGAAAATTTAAGTTTTTGTGGGTTTTGTTTGCAGCCCACAAACTTAAACCTGGATCATTTGGCCCATGCTAAACTTTGAGTTTGACATGCTTGATGTACAGCAAGGGTTACCTGAAAATACACAACATAGAGAAATATCAAGGCAAAAAACGGTGCTATCCTGGGACAAAATGCTAAAATTACCAACCTTTGTGGTAATCAATAGCAGATCACACAGCATCACCAATTTGCACTGGGAATAGCACGTTTTCTGCCTTGACACATTCTATCCCATCTTTAGTTCGCCTTCTTCAAGTTCTAACTGCAACTTAATACTATTTACTAGAACACTTTCAACTCTAGAAACGCCCCCCCTCCCTCCCCCCTTTTTTTTCTACCAGTGCGTGGAAGGCAAGAAGTATAATCGCCGATATTAATAGCAGTGTGGGGAAGAACAAACAAACCGCAGGGGCCCATGGGAAGTGGCACTGAATGACAGCCGGCAGGCACCAGGTTACAACCGATGTATCCGGTGTCTCCAGCTACTTATAGCCGTCCCAGAGCGGAGCCGCCGGCTGTAGAAGCCATGGGACCCGAGAAGGAGGCGCAGAGTGCAGGAGCCGGGAGCATGGCGGACCCCGTCCAGCTGGAGCAATGCCGGCAGCGGGCGGCGGACACCATAGAGCTGGAGGCCGAGCCGCTCAGCGCCCTGAGCCGGGATATCTGGAGCCAGCCGGAGCTGGCCTACAAGGAGCACCGAGCACACGAGCGGCTGGCCGGCTTCTTCTCGTCCCGGGAGGGCTGGCGGGTGGAGCGCCGGTACAAGCTGGACACCGCATTCCGGGCGGAGTGGGGGGCCGCGGCTCCCGCCGTGCATGTCGGCTTCCTGTGCGAGTATGACGCCTTGCCCGGCTTGGGACATGCCTGCGGACACAACCTCATCGCCGAGGTGGGGGCCGCCGCTGCCCTGGGCGTGAAAGGAGCCCTGGAAGACTTACAGCCCCCGGTGGGCGTCAAGGTGCGACTTTTAAAGTTTGTGACGTCACTAGGACGCGCCGTGCCCTGGGTTGTTGATCGTTGCCATGGTTTCCATAATGGTGTTGGCCTGGTCGTTGCCATGGTTTCCATAATGGTGTTGGCATGGTCGTTGCCATTTTTTTCCATAATGGTGTTGACCTGGTCGTTGCCATGGTTTCCATGATGGTGTTGGCCTGGTCGTTGCCATGGTTTCCATAATGGTGTTGGCCTGGTCGTTGCCATGATGGTGTTGGCCTGGTCGTTGCCATGGTTTCCATAATGGTGTTGGCCTGGTCGTTGCCATGATGGTGTTGGCCTGTCAAAACTGTTTTGTTGTTTATTCACTAAAGTATGGGTTTAGGGAATTTAAAGTGAATTTCAAATTTAGGCAGAATAATTAAACTGCAAATAATCTGAGTCAACTGGGGTTAATTTTATTAACAATATGAATTACAAATGGCAAAAATAGTCTGAGATGTTCCAACTTGGAGAGGCAGAAGGCCCAGGTGTTATGTTATCGCTGATAGCGACTGGTCTCCTATCCGTGTGGACAATGCAGTGGGGTCTCACCCCTATTGGCCCTCAGCCCGAATGGGCTTGTAGCATAGGGTTCATGCGCTGCAGCGCTGGAAGTAGTGGAGTTCCCAGAGGGCCCCACTCCGCACCCATATCCCTCCACTATGATCCGACGTTGAGGCAATGAGGCTGCTTGCTTTGCCTCCAAAGAGGCCCAAAAGCGGATACATTTTTCATCCAGTTGCCGCAGGGATCGTGCATCAAACTCATACGGTAACTTCTCGGATTGTGTGCGTTGTGTACAACTAGGAATGGAGTCCTCCTCCATTTTAACCATGAGAGTTGTGGTGCAAGTGAATTCAGGTGCAACAACAGTAGCTCAACTCAGTGCCCAGAATGATCCAGTGGGGACCGGGATAACCCCCACCGGTCAAGGGAGGGGTGCTGTAAGATATCCTGTCGGGACTCTGCGCTATCTGGTCTGGACGATCAGCCTCATGGGCACAAACATCACAGTAGGCATTGTAGAGGAATCTCTTGTTTTTAAGTGCTCCATGGCACCCAGGTCAACTTCAGGAGCAGGTGAGTCCCACAACAAAGCAAGTTGGTGTGTTCGTATTAGATTAATTGGCTTAAATACTACCCCCCACCCCCTCCCCTTGGCGGTACCTGCCTCCTGAATGTTCAGGTTCATGGAAGTTTGGACTGCCCCCATGTAGGGTCGCTGCAGATTGGCTAAGAATGGTCAGCTGACGCTCTTAGTGAATCAGTGACTCCCTGTTCTCTAAACTGGCTTGGAAAGTAAAAGTAACTTTTCCAAGCCAGTTTAACCCCTTGAGATAAGAGTGCCTCCAAGGACCTCCCGGCCTGAACAACTTCATTTATATGAAGTTGTTTTGGTGCCTGGAGTGTGCTTTTAAGTTTGGTGTAAATAATATAACTGTTTTACTAAAAAATATATTTTAGAGAATTGGGACAAAATGGACAGAGGCCTAGACAAGAGAATGTATGTACAAAACAATACTCTTCAACTCACCAGAGTCAAGATTCCTCATACGTGGTTCCTCATTGACATATAAGTTGGAAGACAGATGCATCAGTAAAAAGGTTGGGAAACCAGTCTGGAAGCTATTATTTGCCAAGGAAGATGTTCAAGAAAACAGGGAACTTTTTAAAATTTCAAAGAGATGTTGGCAGTTCAAAAAGTCTTAAAGGGACACTGTACTCACTATAATCATTTCATCTATTTAAATTGGTTATGATGCCTGGAATCTCCTGGCACTGTCTCTCCATATAATGTTAAACCATTTTAGAGAAGTTTAACACTAAATAAGGGATCAAGGCTACCCACAGTCCGGCCTCTTCTGGAGGTGTGGCCAAGGCAGAGATTACACACTTCCTTGTAGTCATACCCTTCATACCGTTAGTTGGAACTCTGAGAGGCTAAAAACAGACAGCTGACACTCAGCCAATCATAGCTGCTCATGCTAGTACTTCTTCATTTGCCGAAGCAGCACAGTGGGGGAGGGGCTGCTGGCGACTCTAATTTAGCATTGAAACATAAAAATATGAAAAACTGTTTAATGCTGAATGAAATTATGGAACTTGGGAACTCTGGACACTATAATCAGTTTAATGAAATGAAGCAGATACAGTGCCTACAGTGTCCCTTTAAGGTGCTACCTCTATGTGATAACCACTACAGTTCACTGTAGTCGTTATTATGGTATGAGTACCCTGGCCCCATTCCCCAGTAATAAGGGGAATGTACCCTTTTTAAACAAGGCTCCTGCTCTTGTTTGAAAGTTGTATTTACATCCGGCTTCTGCAGAGCAGCAGAAACCGAATGCCAATCTTGCCATTCATTGATTGGCTGAGAGCAATTGACTCTAGCCAGTCCAGAATTCTTTTTACTGGCTGGCCTCTGGCAGCAGAGGAGCAAAATGCTGCACATGCACTGAAGTTGTCATTGTGCCTGGACTACCCCCTTAAAATGCTTAAAAGGGCTCCTGGTTGGGAGAGAAATACAGACACAATCAGACAATATAGTCATATCCACAGACAAGACAGTACAAAGTTGCAAAAAACTTGTCAGATCTCTGCAAAGAAACTGGGTTTGGCAGAAGAACACCAACTCACAATTTCTGCCATCTACATACGTGGAGTAGACAAGCATTGAGGACATCCTCGGTAGGTCAAAATAGAATAAAGAATACTGGGTGTTGCATGAGCTAGTCTTAAAGAAAATCACACAAATATTTTGTTCTCTGGAGATAAACCTAATGTACAGAAGATGCAATGGAAAGGTGAAGATGTTAGCTTCACTGTAAAGAAGAGATCATCCAGATATTCCAAACTGTGTGACTGTGCCTTGGGACTTTTGTCTGGCTTATGTATTCGCTGTGATAGTGGTTATATCCAGAAATCTCCAGAAAGCACAGATAGATGCTTTCAAAGGTTTTTGCAGTAATGCCGTTTTAGCCAAAAATAGATTGTTTTCAGAATTGCTATATCTCAAGGAAATTATTGGGGAATTTCCTTATGAGAAACAATCTTAATGAACAGAAATATTTTTCTGTTAACTATGAAGATGTTAAAGTTCACAGTTTGGAATCTACAAGGCTGATTCTCTCAGCTCAAGGCTAAAAGGAAGTTTTAGTAGACATGTTCTTACATGCTATAGCATCATTCTCTAAGATATATTGTAAAGTTTGGCAAACATTTTTTTGCTGGTGCAAAGGAAAGAATTTTAACGCCTCAGACCCGTTCATTTCTCATGCAAGAGCTCTTCATTAAAGGGCCCAGGATTTGCCAAAGCCGCTTCCTTCTTCTGGATTTTTCTTCTGACAGAATAATTCACAGATTTTTTTTTTTTAAAGCTTTCTGGATAGAAAGTGGTTCCTGTATGGGATCTAAATTTAGTATTTGATGCACTTTGTGAAGCTCTTCTGAGCCTTTATCGGAATGTCTTCTTTCAGTCAAGTCTTTTTCCAGGATGAAGTTCTTTTATAGGCAGAGGCCTTCGTTGTGTGTATTTCTTTGATTAGTCGAAAAGTAGATCTTGCTACATTTTGCAACAATTCTAAGAATTCTACTGAAGGTAAATGGCACTACCTAGATGTTAAAATATCATTGGTAATCTATTTACAAAGAACTTCTGAATTCAGAAGACTAGAACATTTGTTCATCGACTTCAAAATATGAAGAGAAGCTTCAAAGCAACCTTATCAAAATGGATCAGAGTAGCCATACAAGAGGCGTGGTTGGCCGTAAACAAGTCGTCTAAAGACACTAATTATACATTCTACCAGAGCAGTAACTGCACCATGGGCTGAAAGGGTATCTGCTACACCAGAGATGATTTATATGGCTGTAACCTGGGCATCAATGCACACATTCAGGAAGCACTATAGGCTTGATGTCCTGGTCTTCTCAGAAACTACTTTTAGGCATAAGGAGCTCCAGGCAGTCGTTCTGGCGAAAGAACTGACTCAACCTTGTGATGTTCTTGTTATATCATAGGTTTAGTTTCAGTAAACAAGAGGACATTTTATTTACTATTTATTTTAAATACGTTTTTTCTTAGTAGTACTGGGAAATCAACTTCATCCTAGTTAAAGCATATTTTGCAAAGACCTCCAAAACTGATAGATCCATTGTGGATCTTGGGGCCATGGGGTGCAGGGGAGGTAAGATTTACTTACCTCAGGCTGTACTGTGCAGCCACTACCATCTTTGTCCGGCTGTCCTTTTTGGCTCCTGGCCCTTCAGTTGCCAGGCGTGATATAATTGCTGTACTAATGCGTATGAGTAAAAGTACAACACTGAGGTCTGTGAAGGATCCTCCATAAAAGGATCCCACGACTGTTATTTGTGAAGGCTACTAAGATTGGACGAAGTTGATGATAGAGCAATGCCTCTTATCAATTTTTGTCAACCTTGGACTTTACCATTAGACAAGTAGTCCCAGTTTTGTTAAAGTATGTTTTTTTTTTTTTTTATTCTTTATTTTTGTGTGCATTGTTAAGTACAAAACAGCCCGCCTGGCCACAACAGCCTTGCGGGTGATGGTTGTTACAGGACTTCACAACATAGTTAAGGCATACTTTTGTCTGTCAGTTCCAAGTTGTAATGTCAGCTAGATCTGCACCTTTTATTTTTATTTTTACAAGTCAACTAGTGTGGAACTAAGGCCTCCATGGAGTGTATTTGCAGTGTATGTCATTCCCCCTCGAGTTCCAAGATCATGGTAATTCGGGGTGTGGGTATCTGAAGGTTGTCAGTCCGGAGGTAGTTGTCAGCGTGTTTGTACCCCTTAATGTGTTCCGTGTTGGGTTTGCGTGTGTGTGCGCATGGCTGTCCTTAGTGTTGTTCGTATCTGTGAGTGAATTATATGATGTCTGTTTATGTCAGCGTGTGTGCGTGGGGCAAGCGTTATCGCTCATGGAGCCTGTTGAATCTTTGTGGTCTATCGATGGGTTGGGGTTTTGACTTCTTACCGAGGAAGTCGCGGGGGGTGGGAGAAGGTATATTCTCCCCGGAGCTTGTGGTGTTCTTTGTCCAAGTAAGTCACGGCTGATGGCGGTCAGTCACAGTTATGGTATAGCGTAAGCTATAATTGTCGAGTGTGTGTGTGTGTAGTAATATCGTGCTGAAAACCAATAACAAAACACCAAAACATAAAAACCATAAAAAACAAGCATAGGGTAAAACAGTAGGTGAGCCGGCATGCAAAGCCCTAAAGAGGAGGCAGTGTCTGGTTAATGTATTAAAGTCGCTGGCCACCATTAATGCAGTTCAGAACAGCTCTTCCTCAGCGCCTGTGGAGGACACATAGGAGGTCGAAGGTCTGGCGCAGTGGGGCAGTTCAGGTTAGGGCTCCGCTTCTCTCGTGTTCCTAGGAGTGAAAGAGATTACTGTCTTTGGGTTCCATGTGTGTGGTGTCGTGGGGTTCTCCCTTGTTTGGGTTAGAGCTGGCATCCCTAGTGCCCTCAGGAAAGGTTCTGCATCCTGTAGCGAGGAGAGGCTGTGCGTGGCGCCCCCCTTGGTCACTGTCAGGGACCTTGGGAATGTCCATTTATACTCGAGCTTTGCCTCTCTCAGTTGAGTTGTGACTGGGGCCAGGGATCTGCGCCATAGTAATGTGTTGCGGGTCAGGTCTTGGTAAAAGGTAACGTGAGAGTTTTCAAATGTTAGCGGGATCTTCCCTCTGACCGCCGTGAGAAGCTTAATTTTGTTGGTCACGGAGTGACATCGGATAATGACATCTTGAGGGGCGTCCGTTGGTGCTTGTCTGGCTTTTCTGATTCTAAAACAGCCGTCCAATACAAGTTTTTTTTGCCTGAGCGGGTGGCAGAAGCGTCGCTATGAGACGTCTGAGGTAGTGGGGTAGTTCTGATGAGTCTATGGTGTCTGGGATCCCCCTTAATTTTAGGTTAGCACGTCTGGTTGCGGTCTTCTGTTTGGTCCAGTCTTGTGATTAGGGTGGACTGTGCGGCCTGCATATGGTAACAAGTGTCTTTTATCTCTCTCACCTCTCTTTGGAGATCTAGGATGTCCTCCTCTGTGGCCCGTGTGCGTGCGGTCATCGCTTGCATTTCAGTCTTTATTAGGTTGATATCTGCTGCATGCATTCTCCTCATTTCCATCAGGAGGTCGGCAATATCTTGTTTGGTAGCCGGGGTTTGTGTGTCTTGGCCGGCAAGTGACTCTGTGGCTTGGGGAGCGGTGGATATTTCTAATCTAGCCCCATGCTGTTCCCCCTCGTCTGGAGAGGCTGGCGTGCGCTCCGCCGGGGTCGCCATCTTGGGCGCCATTGGCCTCTGCAGCATGTCGCCGATATCTTGGGTGCCTCTGCCGGCGGTTGGTGGAGGCTTTTGGGACCTGCGACCCATTGTGTAGTCGTCCGGTTCCGCGGGGTCCTTTAAGAGGTAGGTGCCGCGTCGAGCGTCGATTGCTGCGGCCTCCGTCGCGTACCTTGCGGTTTGGAGTGTCAGGTAGGCCCCAGATTTTCGCCGGGTCTTTTTACCCGTTTGCGGGAACTGGAACGGCATTCGCCTGTGCCTTGGGCTCCAGGGGTACTCGGGTGGGTGTTTGGGTCGTTGGATGGTACCCTGGTACCTCGGATTGAAGCGGGTTGTCGTCGATTATCAAAGTATGTTTTGTTAAAAGCTTCCCTAAATCCATATCATCATCCAATCCAAATCACGTTTTAGCATTATCATTCTTTGTCATTTACCATGTTAATGAAATATAACTGACAATTTTGTAAGTATGTACTAAATAAATATATTCTACTATGAATTTTGTCATCATCTCAATTTTGGGAGCATGTGCAATGTACAGATATATGTATAATCCTCTTGCTAACATTAGGCTTTGATTTAATATGTTTTGATAAGCTTTTCACAAGAACTAATATTTTTGGATCAATATTTAATTTTTTTTTTCCAAAATCTTAAAATATAAAATAGATTATATATATAAATTATATAAACAATATTACACATTTTTCAAAATATAAAATAATTTTGAAAGTTTATACAAAAATATAACAAAAATGTGAAATGTTTATCAAGAAATATTAAATGCCATAGCAGGACTATTTTCTAAGGTGAAAGCATGTAAACATTGAGAACAGTATACTATAAATACATATATATATATATATATATATACACTTTAAAAAAAATAAAAAAATTTTTTTTTCGTGTATACATTTAATGGACAAAATTTCTCAGACCTTAATTCGTTCATTTGTTTTGGTGACAGGTGTGTTTTAAATTATTAAAATTATTTAGTTAGTATTCCATTTTTGTGTAGCTCATCCAGAACAACTGAAATTTTAAGTTGAAATCTTTGTTTTGCCAGGTAACAGTTTTAGGAACTCCAGCCGAGGAAGAGGGTGGAGGCAAAATTGATCTTATTCAGGCTGGTGCGTTTGATGGAATGCATGTTGTGTTTATGGCCCATCCAGGTCAGGAAGATGCAGCTTACCTGCCAGACGTTGCTGTACATGAGTGAGTATTATAAGTATTACAACATATCCCATAGCTTATTCAGAAAATAAACATAGAAATATATGCATTTATACATATATGTGTGCTCAACTGCCTGATAGGCATGGTACTTCGAAATAGTTTTCCTATACTTCAGGATTAAATGGTCCGAGATCCACAATTTTGTACCATGACAGGTACTAAGCAAAATCCAAATGCACAAAAATGTAGGCTCTTCAAGGATAAATTTGCTAAGTACAAATAAAGCAGGAGTTTTATCTTTGTAGAGTCTACACTTCTGTGTGTTTGCATCACTTAGTACTTTACGCATTGGGCACGGGCAGGAGATTATCTGCCTAGTGTACAACTAGAAGAAAATATATGTAACTTTGAAAATAATTGTCAATATATTTCTGTTATTTATGAAAATGTAAGTAGAATATAAAATAGTAATTGCGTGGAATAATATCCAACTACTGGATATTAGGGATGCACGGTTTTAACTAATGTAACTTTAATGTAGTCTAACATGCAATGGCACCCTGGCGTGCTTTAGGAAAGTTCAAATGCTTGTGATAGGTTGTGTGAAATGCTTAAAATGTTTTTTTTTTTTTAGAATAGATGTCAGCATTAAAATTAGGGCTCCTATCTTGCAATTATTTACAAGTAATAATGCAGTTTAGCTTGAAGTAAGCACATCTCTCTAGTAAACCTTCAATGAAATGAGGCATTTATACGGTGCTGATTGTTTTCTCATTAAATGATACAGCTTCCACGGTGTAATAATATATCTTTGTGCTAAAAGGTTTGGAAACCAGTGGATTAGAATATAGGATCTTAAGTATGATTCTGCCAGACAGAACCTATTGTTAGTAAATTATTCACTATATCTTCTCCATAATAGGTACTCTTAGTTGGCTTTTACACCTGTCACACATAATGCATCAGGATTTCCTTGGTAACCCGTCGCACAACCACTTGTTTTTTAATTGTAATATATTGCATTTATAAGGCATAACTTACATGTTAGCACTGTCTTGTATTAAAATTATGCCTTTCCACTATATAACTTTTATGCTATATGCATCACTCTATAGAATAATCAGGATTTTTTTTTGTTTTCCTTTATTTTCCAGTTGTTGACTGCTATTTGGCTTTATTTATTTATTGGCTTTTTTTTGCTTTATTTCTCCTTGAAAATTTTGAAATACAAAATTACAAAAAGAAACATTGAGATTGTGTGGTTTTAATCACCAAGCAGTATTTTGTGGTTTTACTTTCCGGGAAACACATCAGCCCTGTCAGGTTCTATGTTTATATGATTATAACCTATGCTTATCCCCTCTTTCTTATATACCACCAACATTGGGTAGGTTTGAAATCCGGGTAGGCAGGGTGATTGAGAATGCAGAGCAAACTGGAGACTGCCAGTAATGTAACACATATCAGTAGGGATCGACTGATAATCGGTTTTGCCGATATTATCGGCCAATATTCAGATTTTTTTGTAAGTATCGGCCGATAATCACCGGCAATACCAATAACGAATGGGTGGGCCTGCACGTCCATAAGGTGGCACAAGCAGCCGCCTTAGGGCACACTGGCCGGGGGGGCTAGATCGGAGTGATTGGCAGGAGGTGGGAACACAGCACTCCCTCCTGCCAGGCACTCTGTGTAGCGTACCGCAGTCCAGTACCATTTTTCTTTCTGAATTAAAAGCTCTGTTAACCCAAGCCTTGGCTGATGAACTAATCCAGAAGGAGGAATACCAATTTATGATTCCAACTAATAACCCTACAATTTCCACATTCTATTGTCTTCCCAAGGTTCACAAATCTCTAACTAATCCACCAGGGAGACCCATTGTGTCGGGTAACAACTCTTTGACTGAAAGAACTAGTACATTTTTAGAACAACTTCTCCATCCATTCGTTATTAATCTGAACTCTTATGTACAAGATACCAAACAGACCCTGTTGCTACTCGAAAATCTAGAGGTTCCCCCCTATTCACTTCTGGCAAGTCTGGATGTGGTTTCACTGTATAATAACATCCCCCATGACAGGGGTTTACAGGCCACCTCTTACTTTCTACAGAAATCCACGAAGTATAACCCTGCACAAATTGAATTCATTTTAACACTTCTGGAGTTTGTTTTAACACACAACTACTTTGTATTTGATGGTTTATATTATTTACAACTTCGGGGCACGGCCATGGGCACTGCTTGTGCTCCTAGCTATGCAAATTTGTACTTAGGGTGGTGGGAAGAAAACCTCTTCATAGATACAGCAACCAATCAGTTTCGGCAATATGTACACAAATGGCTGAGATACATCGACGATATATAAATTTTTTGGACTGGCTCTTGTTCTAACTTTACTGACATGGTCAAGATTTTCAATAACAATCAAATTGGATTACAATTGACACATGTCATTCACGAAACGCAATTAGAATTTTTAGATTTAAAAATTTTATTAAACATGGATGGTTCAGTAGACACTGAACTGCATAGGAAAAGCACTGCATCAAATAGCCTCCTGGATTGGCGCAGTTTTCACCCTCATCGTCTTAAAGCAGGAATCCCTTACGGACAGTATCTCCGAGCTAGGAGAAACTGTTCTACTGAAATGTCCTTTAAAGTTGAAGCGGACAAGCTAAGGACACGCTTCAAAAATAGAGGATATCCTAATAAGATTCTAAAAAAAGCGTTTCAGAGAGCCTTGTCCCAGGATAGAAGTTCTAGCCTTCACTCAAGCAAGGTTACCCCACCCAACCAACTTATTCGATGTATTGGTACTTTTGGTAGACAGTGGCAACCTATTAAGGAAATATTTACTCAGCATTGGCCAATATTACAATACGACAAGGACTTAAAATCACAAGCAATTGCTTACCCCAACATTACAGCACATAGGTCTAAAAACCTCAGTGACTTTTTGGTACACAGTCACTTTGAGAGAAACACACCATCTGCAAACTGGCTCACTGCACCGACAAGAATACACAAATGTGGACATTGCAAGGCATGTCCCTACATTAAACAGTCTAAAACGATTCAATGTACCAATACTAAGAAATAATTCAAAATTAATCAGTTCATAAACTGCAGTACTACACGCGTTATATATGTAATTACATGCTCTTGCGGCATGCAATACATTGGAAAAACCTACCAAGAGCTAAGGAGACGGACCCTGCAACATGTAAACTCAGTAAGAAATCCACATCTTAGTACTCCTGTCGCTAACCATGTACGTAATTTCCACGATGGAAATCCGAACCATTTATCTTTTCAGGCCCTAGAGAGAGTTAACTTGAACTCTAGAAAAGGGGATTTCAATCTTATACTCCTTCAGAAAGAGTCTAGGTGGATTTATGAATTTAAATGTCTGGCCCCTGGTGGTCTAAATGAAGAATTCAACTTCACTCCTTTTATTCACTCACATTAGAGTTTACGTTACAGAATTAGTCCCCGTGGTTTATATATATTCATCATTCTTTATCACAGTTACCACTTTTTTTTTTTTCTCGTCTCTAGACCGAATTTACAACACTATGTTAGATTTGACAATATCCCTACAGTATCTCCTCCCTTTACCTGGCATTATGATTATCCTCTGTGGACCATGCACTATCCTCTCTGCGCTTAATTTTTCTTGCATAGTTTAGCCTCTATCTAGCTACAAGCACTATCATGCTTCCAACATTGTCTAGCTTACATTGGCTCTCATTCATTTTTTTAAGAGACCTCTCTCACCAAGGTGTACCTCTATTGGATTTCTTTATCTAAGTATCCTCAGTATTTTACATTTATTCATTGTCACAATTTTAGTCCCCGAACTTAGCCTCAGTGGAATACTTAGTGGATTTCTGCAATGATGTTCACTTATTTACAGTGCGCCTGCATTGGTGTCATAGAATCCCGAAGTGCCACTGTATAGCATTTTATAAATTTAATAATTGGTTTAACATTCTCCTGTTTTCTTAACTATTATCTCAATATAGGCATCTTAGAGATATAACAGCAACTTAAGCTAATTTTACATTTATTTTTATTTTCCGTCATTTCAGTTGTTGGATCCACACTTCGTAACTGTGTATAATATTTTACTTTAATTCTAGTCTTTAAAATCATTAGGTGTCCTTCCCTCTGAGATTGACACCTTGATTTTGGTCCCAGTGTCGTGTCCTGATCAATCCCTTTTTTGTATATTGGTAAGATTCTTATACATCCAGGTTGCATGTATCTAGGTAGTCTGTGTGCACCTTAATATCTAGCTGGACATGTTCAGGGCGTTATATATTTATCATATATATTTTTTATCACTATCATTTTTTTATCATTTTTTTATCTTCTTCTTTCATTTTTTCACTAATTTTGGTATATCATTCTTTATGTATTATCCATCCACTTTTTATTTTATTCTCTTCATCTATCCATCGGTACCTACTTCATGTGTACAAGTCAGTTATGGGTCGATTGTGCTCTTTTATCTATTTTTTCTGGAACATCTACTTTGTTCATTTTCATATACCGCTACAAGGATCGGACATCTTTATGAACTATTTTTTTGGACATTCTCCAACTTGTCCACTGGTGTCTGTCCGGTTTATCCAAATTATTTATGGGCTGGATTGCTTTTTAATTTCCCTTGGAATACTAACTTTGTCTATTTCTACATACTGTCACAATGATCGGACAGTGTTATGAACCGTTTTCTATTTTTCGGATATCGTTTTAGGAAATATACATGAAAGTAAGAATTCTTTCATTGTTTAAGGTTATCTCATACTTTAATTCGTTTCCCTTCCCTCTTTAGTTGGTTGAACACTATTAATTTTCTTTCTAGTACTTCAGGACAACGTACCCGATAGGGTTACTTAAGTATATCACCTCATTGGCTATCGTCATACTTACCGGGAATTTTCATTGGCCACATTGAAACAGCGGTCTTTTTCAAATTCCTCCTGTCAGCTTGATCTACGACCTTTAAATAGCTGATACTTACCACACATCGGTTCCCCTCTGATGAGTTGTGGGCGAAACGCGCGCGCCAGGGGACCCTGGTGATTCATTGCAACAACTTTCTGTGTGGTTTTTGTATTAGACACCGCCACACTCCTACATGAATCCCGAGTATTATTCCTGTTAGGACTGGAGCAGACACATATGACTGTACTCAGGAAAGCATTTATTATGAGTTATTAGATAATTTGGATACTTTATTATTATCCTGTATGAATCTGCTCCTCATGTCTCTAACAGTTTGTGCTAGTTACTCCAGTGATTTAGACACCGTTATTTAGGAGCACAACCAGCTACCAGAAATCACTGTATTACTAGCAACAATAATTCATTCAACTATCACATTGTGTGTGTTACTTTTTAAGGACATTGTCTCAATTGCAACTTTGTTTTGTTGCAAGTGACATACTTTAGAGGTAACCTGAAAACTTCTGAACAGGTCCTCTTTGCAGTTATATTAATCTCCCTATTGTTAATATTAGCTACTCGTGTGCAAATTCTGTAAACATGGGGCTGATGTAGACGCTTGGTATTAGTATTTTTGTATCAGTACCCGTTCTATCTTTGACACTGTTGGCGCATTAGTTGTCATTTTTTCCACCAGCGTCTCTGATGTGTACGTGGCTCATGTTCACATTTAACCTTGATTCTGAGACGCCAGATATACACAAACATATTTAGGATTTTGTCCTCTTTTCTCTTTTTTTCTCTTTTTATATTTATACGATTAAAAGTTAATTTTTAAACCCATTATACTTAGAGCACTCTGAGTCTCTTTCCTTTCTCCTTCTCACTACCTTGGTAGTTTAACTGTGGGTTAACCCCATTTTTGAGTGCTCAGCTTCCATGTTCTCTCTTTTTTCTTCTACCGCAGTCCAGGAACTTATGTTTCCTGTACCCGGCCGGACTGAAAAGAACTGCTCACTGAGAGAGCACTTCCTGTCAGCCCAGCCGGGTACAGAAGACTGAAGATCCTGTACTGCGGTGCGCACTGCTCCGCTCGGCCATGTTACCAGGAGACACACTGGGGAGCGTGGACAAAAGAGGTGAGAGAGAGGGGCACTAAGGGGGGGCGGAGACACTATGGGACGGCGGTGTGTGTTAAGGATGGTTGAACACTATGGGACACGGGGTGGGGCTGGTATGGAACACTATGTAAGGGGAGTGGTAAGGAACACTATGGTACAGGGGAGGGGGGAAAAGAACACTATAGGACAGGGAAGGGGGGGTGAAGAACACTATGGGACGGAAGGGTGGATGAAGAACACTATGGGATAGGAAAGGAGGATAAAGAACACTATGGGACAGGGGAAGGGGGGAAAGAACACTAGGGGGGAGAGAGGAACATTAAGGGAGGACACTTAGTTACCGGGGATAAAAGGGAAAAGGAACACTGGGGTAGGGGGTGGACCACTAAAAGAGAAGGGAGAGGAACAGGGGAATGGGGGGGGGGGTTATTAAGAGACAGGTAAGGGGAGCACTAAGAGACAGGTAAGGGGTGGAGAGGAGGGGAGTTTCTACCGCACATATCTACGCACAAACACACTGCATCCACTACACAAACCCACACATTGAATCCACTACCCCACTGCACCCACTACACAAACACACACTGCATCCACTACCCACACTGCATCCACTACAAAAACAAGCACACTGCATCCACTACACAAACACACCCACACTGCATCCACTACCGACACTGCATCCACTACACAAACACGCATACACAGACACTGCATTTACTAATCAAATACTCTCACTGCATCCACTACACACATATAAATATTCTTGAAAACATAAAAAAAAAATCTGACTGGCGTGTATATTTTGTGCATTTACCACTTAAAAAAAAAGATTTGCAAAAAAAAAAAAAAAAATACGGTAAATGTACCTAATATTGGTAAGCCATCGGCTTGAAAGTTCACAGAGTATCGGTATTGGCTCTAAAAAATTAATATCGGTTTATCCCTACAAATCCTTGAATCAATGCATCTCTGAGAAGAGTTCAGTGTCTCCACGCAGAGGCTGGAGACACTGAATGTCAGTGCTGCACTGGCCCAGGGAGTACCTCTAGTAGCCATCTGATGAGTGGCCAGTGGAGTTATCACTAGTCTGTAATGTAAACACTGCCTTTTCTCTGAAACAAAAATGTTTACGGCAAAAAGCCTGAAGGGAATGATTATACTTACTAGAACAAATACAATAACTTGTAATTGCTCTGGTGACTAGTGTCCCTTTAAATAAATACATTGCTTTTAATTCATATTTTCTGATGCTCTATGCTTTGTTTTGTAGCATGCTGGTGAAATATCAAGGAAAATCTTCTCACGCTGCTGCATATCCATGGGAAGGAGTGAATGCTTTAGATGCCGCAGTTCTTGCTTACAACAATGTGTCTGCCTTAAGGCAACAAATGAAACCCACCTGGAGAGTTCATGGTGAGAACTTTATGTAATCACTCTTTTATTCCATAAATGTTAATATATTTGATTGCATTTAAATGTCACAATTTGTCTGTTTTAGAAATCCAAACTTGGTTATTTCAATATAATTTTCACTTCTATTCAGCTGCAGTAGGTTGTCTGCATAAATTAGCTAAATATCCATATAACTTTGCTGATTTTGCTATTCACAAATAGCTGAGAGGGACACTGCAAGCACTATAACTGCTTCATCTCATTGAAGTAGTTATAGTATATCCTTCCATTAAGCATTGAATAGATTTTAATGTTTGAATGCTAAATTAGTCCGTAGCAGCCCATCTCCTCTGTGCTGCTTGGGGGAGCATTAGCCGGAGCAGAACTGGGCATCTGTGATTGGGTGAGAGTGTCTACTGAATGTTTTCACTCTATCACAATGCCCATTGCTAGTTTGAATTGGTCTGGCAGGAAGGAAGTGTATAATCTCTGATTTAGCCACATCCCCAGTAGGGTCCAGAATGTGCTTGTGATGAAGTGCCCTTCGCCACTTGTGCCTGGAGGGGACTACTGGCTTTCCCTGCAGAAAGGTTTATTTGTGTATTTCTGCTGGGGCGTTCTGGACTTTCAGTATGGTAGTAGTGCTATCCCAGATAGCTATGCCATGGAGCCTATTTGTGTAACAAAAGACTTTGGCTCCATGGCGATTGAATTGTATGTATGTGATCTGAGCGCCATTCAATAATAATGTGCACTCAGATCTAAGCTATCTGGGGATATGTTGCATGTATATGTTTTGTATAGTAATTGTAACATTGTGTAATTTTATGTCTTTTTGTAACCATGTGGTTAATGGAGTCTTGCCTCTGTCCTGGGATAAAATTTGATTACTTCCCAATTATCTCCAGGATAGAGAGGAGGGATTGTGATGTCACCGTGGGAGTGTTTTGTTTGTATTGTCTGTGATTGGTTATACTGGGTCCCACCCTGTGGGATGTCCCCTTGCATGGGGACTTGCATAAAAGCCAGTGTGTGGTCATTAAAACCAGATCATCTTGTACCTTTCTTGAAGCCTTGGCTCATGTTTGGGGGAAGGGATACCTACACTCTGGGGATTGCTATAATCACTTATACCCCAGAGCTCTAGCAGGCTAATTACAGAGCATGATATAAGAAATCCTAGATTAACACACTCTGCAATGTGCCTCCCAACCATCCCGTATTTGGAGGCACATGCCTGATTTTTGGGTCCTGTCCTGCCATCCTGCTTTAGGTACCTGATGTCCCTCTTTTGGGGACACCAGGGAACTGTCCCCAACAATCCTAGCATAAGCGCATCATAAGATGTTCAGGGCACTGTGACTTTGCAGGTAGCACTGAGAGTCTGCCCTCAGTGGGCTGGCCTGAATGATGGATAGGCAGTCTGGCATGCATTAACGCCAAGCAGACCTACCATTAACTCAGGTGGACCCGTCCCCTTTCCTGGAAGATCTGCCCATTTGGAGTTGTTCCCCTTTCATTCTATAATATACCTCCCAACTCAGGTGTCCTAAGAATTGGGACATGGGTGGGAGGAAGTTTAAGTGGGCAGACCAGTGTAACTACCCTGATATACTCTATTGGAAAGGAGGTCAGAAAATATAGGGAACATTGTTTTAGTGATCCCTGCAGGGTCCTAGTGCCTTGAACATAGCACAAACGAGTCTTATGATGTGCTAGTGCTATGATTGTTGGGGACAGTTCCCTGGTATCCCATAAAGTGGTACACCATGGAACTAAGATGGGACAGGACATGAACCTTTTGAACGTACTCTGAAATTGGGACAGTTGGGATGCATGCAATCCTAAACCTTAATGCCCTTTAAATTCTCTTCTTACTAACACCATTTTTTGTGTACAATGTTATTCATTTGGTGGATAGGTTGTGGGAGATTTTTGGAAATGCACTGTGGTATATGAGAAAATCTACTGTGAGTGTGCGGAGGTGTACATACAGCATGTTTTGGGCTGCTTCCTCACACAGCGCTTGTGTGGTTTAATATAGCAGGTGCTTTGTCCAATTTGCTTGCTCAGCAGTTTGTGCATGGGCTGGTGGCCTGCAATAATTATTTTTCCAGGCCTGGGGATGAAAAGGCTGGATGTATAAGGTAAGATATGTATGTGTGTGTGTGTGTGTGTATATATATATATAATCACTGTAAAACAAAGTTCCAAAAAGAAATATCTTTTCATCTGTATTTGTGCTAATAGTTTTGTTAACACAATGTATGCTTCAACTTTGTGTTTTGTTTCTTTTGTTTTGATATTCTAGGAGTAATAACGAATGGAGGTGTAAAACCGAATATTATTCCTTCATATTCTGAATTAGAATTTTCCGTGCGAGCCTCTTCTCGCAGGGATCTTGTCATTTTACAAGACAAAATAAATGCTTGTTTCAAAGCAGCAGCTGATGCAACTGGGTGCCGGGTAAATATAAAACATAATCTATGGCCACTTTGATACTTTTTCTTCCTTGGTATGGCAATGCATTTTACCTTAAATATTGTATTGACAATATAGAAAATATTGCGCAGAAAGGTAAGGCAATTGAATTTAGTAATCATACTTATTTAATCTCTAGTAAAAGAAGTGTTTTTTAAAAATATTTTTAAAGTCCTAACTTCAACATCAGCCAATCTGCTTTACTTACTTGTTCTCAGCTTGCAGTTTGCCATGAACCTTAAGAGGGAGAAGGCACCATGAAGAGGGTGGAGAAACTGTAACACTGGGTCAGGCTCTGCCGTGCTCGCATTAGGACCACCCCATAGAAAAGCAGTGAATCAATGCTTTCCTATGTGGATATGGCTGATGCTCGTCCAGCGTCAGGTGACCAAAAGTCGCTTAACGACAGCCACTAGAGGTGGAGTTTAACCTGCTATGTAATTATTGAAGTTTATCAATAACTGCAATAATTAAAATTTACAATTAAGATCATTTACTGTTGATCTCAGCCAATCAAGTGCTTTCTCATAGGGAAGCATTGGGTGGCTTGTGTGCATGCACAGCAATTGCTGCACTTCATCAATCATCATCTCCTCATGGAGAAGCATTAGATTAATATATCCCAATGGGGATGGTTCTGTGTCTTCATGCAAAGTGTTAAGACACCAAATGTTGATTTTGAAAAAAAAAAATCACAGGGTAGCTGGAGTAGATGCCACTATTGGCTGTCTGAGTGACAGCCACTAGAGGTTTCCTTAGAGACAAATGTAAACACTGCCTTTTTCCAAGAAATACATGGTGGACCATGAAGGCATAAACAGTAGTGAAATGCACTGAAATTGTTCATTTGAAGCCGCCTTTTTAAAAGGGAGACTCCAGACCCTTAAAACACTTAAGCTTGCTGAAGTGCTTTATGTGTGAAATAAGTGTTCTCCTTTTTTTAATTTTACAAAAAGGGCAGATTTCAATTGAAATTTCAAACAGACAACAGGTCCTGTTACTTCACAGTTTGTTTAGCTTGGTAGAGCTAAACTCAAGAGACAGGTAATTACCTAGAGCGCCCTCCTTGCACAGACTTCTCATTGAACTCCATTAGGTAGTCTGTGATTGGACAAGTACCAAAAGTCAGGGCTGGGGAAGAAAGGGGGAGCTTGCAAAGTCTTCATAAAAGAGAACTGCAGCTTTTGCAAGTAGTTTTTAGATATATCCCCAGTGGAAAAAATGCACAATTAAATGCATGCTCTTTTCACTTGGGGTAAACAGTGATTTTTATTTTATATTAATTTGGGCAGTGGAGTGTCCCTTTAAATCTCTCAATTGCAACCATTGTACATTATTTGAAAAAAATACAAGGCTTTGAGATACGCTAAATTGTTCTACAATCCTAATTCTATTTCAAACCCAGGCCCCCATTTTAATATTGTTAGATAAATTTTTCAAATGATTTAATAGTTTTTAAAATAATTTTTTCAACATATTACAATAACAAATATCACTTATATAAAAAAAAATCAATATACCTAAATATTACAACATTTTAATATTTTCATAATATTAAATTATTGTAGGCGTTTACTCAAAAAATATTAAATCATTTGAAAAATGTATCCAACAATATTACATATCTCTACCAGGAAGCTTTTGTAGAGATATGTAATCGTAAAACAATCTGTAAACAGTTTTAATCTTGATGCTTTTTTGAGACAAGTTCAATGCGTTTTTCAAAAGTCTATGCTTTCAGTGTATTAAACTCATTTTAAAACAGAGAGGAAGGACATCTAACAGCGTATTTCATCCAAGGCAGAATGTTTCTGATACATTACCCATGATCCCCTTGAAGTGTAGTTTCCCTTTTAATGAAGTTCACATTTTGTAGTATACTGATAGAATATGTTTGCTTATATCAATATGTTTTGGTTGCAGATGGAGTTGAGCCCGATCAGCCATACTTATTACAATGTGCTTCCAAATAAAACTCTAGCAAAAACATTTCTGGACAATGGCAAAAAACTGGGAATGAAATTCACTACAAATGAGCTGGTTTTAAATAATGTTTCAGGTAAATATTCTCATGCAGGAGCATTGTAAATATGACTTCTCCAATGCAAGGAAGGGCAAACATCTATATCTATAAAAAGTAAGGACTTGTGCAAGTGGTTGATCTCTTTATTGGTCATTTTTTCTATGAATCTGGAGTTTAAAAGCTGATTAAGACAGGATTGTATCAACGGTAATTGGACATATATTGGTCCAAAACCATAATTAACTCTGCAATGATAAGCCTGAGAGGTTCCAATAGAAAAAATGACAATGATTTATTTTCTGCCACATGCAGAGTTAAAATACATAAATACATAAACAAGAATAAAAAGTGATAAAGAGAAAGGGTGGTTAGCCCCTTACTGGATTTGATGGTGAGTATGACAGATATCTGCCTACTCACTATAGCACTTAGAATAACAGGGTGGCCGGCAGCACTGTGGAGTGTTCTCCCTGTTCGGCTGGATGTTACTGTATAATGCCGGTCTCCAAACAAGCTGCTTCAAACTCTGTGGTCTATAGGCTCCTCCCCCTGTATGACGTCAACGCGTTTCGCCGGATGGCTTCCTCAGGACGTACACAACAGAGTTTGAAGCAGCTTGTTTGGAGACCGGCATTATACAGTAACATCCAGCCGAACAGGGAGAACACTCCACAGTGCTTCCGGCCACCCTGCTATTCTAAGTGCTATAGTGAGTAGACAGATATCTGTCATGCTCAGCATCAAATCCAGTAAGGGGCTAACCACCCTTTCTCTTTATCACTTTGTATTCTTGTTTATGTATTTATGTATTTTAACTCTGCATGTGGCAGAAAATAAATCATTGTCATTTTTTCTATTGGAGCCTCTCAGGCTTATCATTGCAGAGATGACTCCTGATCTATAAATAGCTGTATACTTATATATTTGTATTTTTATACAAACAATCTGCACTATTACCTGTGTTTTCCCTTCTCTTTTATGTATAACATCTTTTATTGGAAGAACCTCCATTCATCAGAATAGTTTGTATACATATTTTTTAATTTACTGTCTCTTAGTGGTACTTTGCTCCACTCACTATCACATACTAAGATTTATTTACTGATTACCGTATATCCTTGATGATGACTTACATAATCTTAATTGATGTGTGCACTCACTGACGGTTGTATGTTCTGTCATTGTTTTAGAAATGTATGCATTGTTTGTTCTGCTACTGGAAAATGCTAATGGACAGAGGGCGCATCACACAGAATGTTTTCACTGATCAACTTATAAGGAGTGAATTTTTTTCCCCCCTTGTTCAGCCTACTACAGGTCCACTCAGTTTTTCCATCTGAAAATAGGTCAACTAACACTTGGACACCATATGGAATAAGAATTTTGTCCAAAGCAAAATTGCTCGAAAAATATCAGTGTAATGAAAATGTGTAGACTGCACACATAGCAAACAAGTTCAATGCTTTCTTTGTTTCCTGCTGAGTTATTAGATATTTTGAGTAAATTCTGTCTTCTAAAGTATAAAAGGTAATGGATATGACACATAGAACCTTTATTTCTCCCATACTCGTAACTGATTACATGTTATTCTAATTTTAAAGTGATGGTTCCAATGTAAGTAGTACAGTCTTTAGAGGTTTTTTTTTTTCCTTCTTAAATTCTGAGTTTTATTTATGATCCTCAAAACGGTCTTATTGTTACTATGCATAGGTTCAACAGATTTTGGAAATGTCAGCTTTGTGGTGCCTGGAATTCATCCCTATTTTTACATTGGATCTGAAGCTCTTAATCACACAGAAGCATACACTGAAGCTGCAGGTAAGCTGCAACATTCATCATGTCCCAAGGTTGAAAATATTAAACCTATTTTCACTTTCCCTAAGAGGTTGTATATATGCACATAATAATGGTATTTAGTTGGTTCCATGCACAAGAATGACATTTATAATACACATATATGTTTTTAGAGGTACATGTATATATTTTATAATCTCCATGCATGTTGATACCCAAGACTTCTGAACGTGTCCTGTAATATCTAGCACCAGGACATTAGCAGCAGATCCTTCAAGTCTTGGAGGCTGCTTTTGCTGATGACTGTACTGACATCTGCAAAGGGATTTCAAAGTTCACACACTGCAGAGTGCTCTGTAATGAGTGATTGCAGCATGAGAGGGAGATATATCTTTCGCATCCTATCCCACCTGATCACACAGCGACAAGTAAAGGACAGCTGGCAAAGCCCAGCAATGATCACTATCGAAGGGGGCATGTAGGAAGACCCTATGAGGGTCTTTTCAGACACAGGAAGTCTCTCTTTGTGTAAAGCAGACTAAGAATCACTGAGTGCGGTGATTTACATTAATTTAAAGATCTATATTCAGCATTCACTTTGGGTTCTGCATACAGCTCATCGAATAGTCTGGGATCACTAAATATGACCCCAGCTGACAGAGCGGAACCCCAGTTATTGTATTGTTAAATCCTTGCCATCCTAACGGCGGTAAAGCAAACTATTTTTGGACAGCATGGAACATCCTAACAATGTGAAGGAGTTTGTGTGTGTGCTGTAGATTGCCATAGGGTATATTTGCCCTCTCTGCCGCCAATGATCCCTGCTTTTATTGATAGACACCAACACCTTGTATATAATATTTTTGCCTTCTCTGTTTTTGAGGTAGGGCAACTAAAAAAATCAATAGGAAATGATTGCATTTTCTTCTTTTGTTTATAAAAGGATCAAAAGAAGCTCAGTTTTATGCACTTCGTACAGCGAAAGCCTTGGCGATGACTGCATTAGATGTTATATTCAAACCGGATTTGCTCCAAATAATCAATGAAGACTTCAAGATGATGAAACAAATTGAAGATGATGATTCCAATGTATTAGCTAAAGTCAGAGAATCCAGTGGTGGAGCTGGAAGTGCCTCTCGCTGAACAATATCACAGAATTTTTATCTGTGTTCATAAGCGTTACAGTGCTACAAGTACTTGGGGACTCTTTCTTTTTTATTATATCCTTCACAGAATCTAGTTCAAACATGGACAAAAAAAATGGAATTCTCATTTTACTTGCTTAATGCTTATCAAAATTGTTTTTTATCAAATGTTGTTCTGATTTCAGTGTTATTTGCATACAAGATTTTCTTTTGATAACCGGATATATTTATTAGTACATCTGACTAACTTTTAATCTTTGTTTTGAAATTGTCATGACATATTTATTACCATATTTTACTTGTGATTTGTATAAAACATTTTTACTTTGTTCTGAAAGTAAAATGTAATAATATTAAAGTCACTGTTTCAAATCAACCTTTTTTGTTCCTTCACTTTTCTATACGTATGATGACCAGTATGTATTTTATAAAAAAAAAAAGCGATTCAAGTCACATCTGTTATCCTGTTTTCACAATATTTAATGCTTGTGCAGAGTTGTTTAGTAAAGTGAGAATTTAAAGTCAAATGTAGCTGAACTAGAAGCATAGTTATATCTTAAATTAGAAGTGCACTTCTAATTAATTTGGAATTCTCACTTTAATAAATGTTCAAATTGTATTCTATTTTGTATTAGAACTACACATTTGTTACCATTTAGTTTTTGGTTTTTTGCTTATGTATGGCTAGAATGCCAAACATGTACTTTTGCTAACATCATCCAGCATAATCTTCAGATTTCTTGACATAAATAACCTTAGAACCACGCTTTCAATAGTTAATTTGTTGGTAGCTAATAGTTAATGTACAACAACCCTCACAACAAACCTTACAGTCCATTGACAAGTTTGAGCGCATTGACCAAGTTGCAACACTTTTTCTGGTAACAAAATTGTAGAATTTAATTTCAAGTGACCATTAGTGATATATAAAGGATTGTCTTCTTAATTTTGAAATGAAAACACAGTATTGGCCTGACCAACTTCCAGATATGTTACTGAAGCTCGGTTCACCAGTAATTGCCCATCCAATTTCTTACCAATTAAGACCTTTTTCTAATTTTTCAATATATCTGAAGTGTAGAAGATTGCAAGAGTAATTCCAAAGAAACTAAAAACTACTGGGTGGTACAAAAACAAAGAAAAACTATGATACACTACTTGCCATCACTTATTTATGAATTTAGAGAAGCTTGATTGGAGTGCAGAGTATTTCTGCAGATAAGTTGTCTGTATCCTGAATGGAGATGCCAGAAAAGCCAGCTTCAATCCGAATATGGTTTCTTAACATATTTTTAAACAATGCTGACATTTTTTCTTTATCACTAAAAGATCACATACATTTTTGGCATTACCATTCAGGAGTCTGGCTTGTCATAAAGATGGTGATGCCAATTTAATGTCCAACTACATACCTATATTGTTAATAGATCTAGGAAAACAAGTCCAAATGTAATTGTACATTACTAACAGTACAAATATGTCTTTTTAAAGACTTTTGTTCAAATCATGTAACTGTTACGTGCAGCAACCATCTAGAATGGCATGGAGCAAGTGGACTATACAGGAACTATTTTACTTGTTTTTGCCATGGCCTTTAATACAGTTGCCTGGAATTCTAGGAGGATTCATGCCACGCTGGATCCAGGTAAGTGGAAAACCATTGTTAAGTGATTTGCCTTCTAACTGGGCAACTTGCCCGGGTACTCCTGCCATAATCTTTATATTTTACATATTTACTTAGGGCTAGGGAATTGCTGAAGGCCCGAATTTCGGAAGTGCCGAACCGAGACAATTTTTTTGCCTATGCACATCCCTACTACTTTCATTAATGCTATGATTATTATGTCCTAATACTCAATTTTTCTTAATATACATAGGGATTTGGCGTAGTATGCAGGTAACTTTTATTTGGTTTTTTTATTGTATGTATTGGGCTGATGTCATGCTCACTCACCTCCTGGACGACTTTCCTGCTCCTAGACTCCACTCCAGCAGTTCCCACGCCGGCTGCTGTGACTCCGCCCCCTTTTATGACGCGGCACGAGCACTCCGACGTCATAGCGCTAATGACGTCATGATGCTACGTATGTGCCGACCTCATACCGCCGATGACGCCACGGCCCGCCAAAATGTCTGAATTCGTACATTTTGTGGGCGTGGCTTTCAATTTAAAGAGCCAAACTATAAAAGGCTGGTTCACACATAGGACAATAACGCGTTTTTCCTGATTGTTCCCTTTTGGTATCTTGACCTCGGCTATCTGACTTATCTCCATTCTCCTGTTCTTGACTCTGCTCTTGTACCTCGACTACTCTATTTTCTGGTTCACTGACTCTGCTAGTATACTCACTTTCATGAGTTCTATATTCCTTGAACCCGGCTTGGTCTTGACCATTCTCTTTCTGTAAAACATAAAGCCTGGCCACTCTAAGGTCCGGTATATATTTTTCTTTTACGCCCTGCGTGTTGAGTCCTGACAGATGTGTACTATGGTCATTGTTGCCACCCAGGAGTAGTGGGAGTCTGAGTGCAAGACTTATTTTTGTATTTACTTTTGTATCACACAGCCATGTTACAATGTTGTCACCCAGCCCGTGTGTTCCCTATTAAGGGTTAATAGGTAAGTAGGAGTTTAGAAAAATACCGCTCTGTCTATTTGTATTCATTTTTTTTTTTGCCTGAAGCTGAAGGAAGACAGGTGAACTGTTAGTGTAGAACCAACCTAAGAGGTTTGATGTGGCTTCATGTGGCAGGTCGGCTTACATCTAATAGAGATTGGAGTGAAACAAAAAGCCTTAATTTGTCTAAATATGCATACGGATTTAGGGTAGGGTGCAGGTAGCTCTTTTCTTTGGGTTTTATTGTATGATTGTTATGTGTCTATATGCTAAGCCAGTGGTCCCCAAACTTTTTAGGTTTAAGGTGCCCTTAATATTTCAGTATTTTTCCAAGGCACCCAAAGTCAAAATTTCTAGGTAGTATATCTGTACAGCGCTGCTGCATTTATTGGTGCTGTAGTGTAATGTACAGTGTTGGTGTTTGCAGGGGTGCTTGTATACATTTGTGTTTTAACACAGGGGTGTGTTTGCATGTGATGTTTACGTTTGATTGCAGGGGTGTGTCTGAATGTAATGTTCACTTTTAAATGTGGATGTATATTTGTGTGAAGTATTTGTGTTTGAATTCAGGGGTGTGTTTGTATGTAATATTTGTGTTTGACTGTTTGGATGTATGTAAATACATACATACACAGATATTCATGCACATTAACACACAGATGCATATAAATAACCGACACATACACACAAATTCATATGGACACCGACACATACACACATGCACCTTCACACACACAAACATTGATACATGCCCACTCCATGACACAGATACACACTGACAATAAAAACCACACACCCTGACACAAAAGCACACTGACATATAAATGTATATATTAACACACACATGATTTTCTTTTTATCTCCAGCCACCCTCTTGTTAGCTTACCTTATGTGGCAGGAGGGTGGCCTGGAGTCCTGCTGCTGTGGGAGTGAGGGGTCTGGAGCTCTTCATGCTCCTCTCCCCTTACGCTGTGGCTGCCTCCTCTCCCTCCCGCGCTGTCTCCCTGCAGGATGCTGGGAGGAAGTGATAGGCTGTCCCATGTAATTTTACAAAACATTATATGGGATGATAGCGACTATCTTGTGACAGCTGACGTCCGTTCTTTATATACGATAATCTCCCATACTAAAGGCTGTAGAGCAACCAGATTTTTTTTAGAGAAATCACAGAAGTTTTTAGATAAACAAATAAATTTTATTATTGAAGGAATTTAGTGGATTTTAATGAATAATTACTTTTGGTTTGGGGAGCAATTTTATCTTCAGATATGTGGAATGACGATGAGAACGGGGTTCGCACCCAGCTACGCACCCAGCTATTTATGTCACTCTGGGAGCCAGAATTTATCCATGAGGACAGTAGGTGGGATGCGAACCTCGTTACCTATCGCCATTACATTGATGACATATTTTTTATTTGGCGAGGAGAAGAATAGTTTCTTAACACCTTTTTAGCCCACCTGAATACCAATGATTGGGGCATTAATCTCACTAGTCACTTTAGTAAAACTTCAGTAGAATTTCTAGACCTTAACATATATGTGGATGGGGGCATTCTCAAAACTTGCACTTTTTTCAAGAGGGTTGATGTCAACAGCTACATAGGGGAGAATAGTTGCCATTTCTCCCCGTGGCTGTTGAATGACCCTAAGGCACAGCTCTTACGAATCAAACGTAACTGTACGGAAAATGAAAGATTCCAAGAACAATCCTTACGAATAATCAATGATTTTAAAGAAAAGGATATAAAAAGGAACTTCTGGATAAAGCCTATATAGAAGTGGAAAGGACAGACCGAAATGAACTCATTAAATATAATGGGTTTCCAAAATTCAAATTTTATCTGTGATTTTAATAAACAGTAGTCATTTGAAGAAAATAATACAAAAACACTGGCCAATCCTGAAGAGTGATCCTATGTTAAATTCCCTGCTCCCTGAAAGACCTATTATTACACATAGGGGTGTACGTAACCTAAAGAGCAATTTAGTAAATAATCACATACCACCAAAACAACATAGAGGGAATTTTGTTAATAAATCAAATGGATTTTATGGCTGCGGCTCATGTGGAGCTTGCAAGGGCACTAACAGCATAAAGCGACATAAAAGAATTCGACCATCCAGGAGACAAAACAAAGCAGTTCAAAATTAAACAGATGATCACATGTCACTCTACTAGAGTCATTTATATAATCACCTGTCCCTGTGGATTGGCGTATATAGGGAGAACGATTAGAACACTCATTGTAAGGATCCAGGAGCATACAAGAAACATCAAAAAAGGTTTTGAAAAGCATAGTGTCTCACTGCACTTTAAAGAAAACCACAATTGCGACCCCCACTTAATGAGCTTTATAGGAATCCAAAAAGTTATCATGAATTGGAGAGGAGGGGACCTGACCAAATGCATAGGACAAACAGAGATGCAATGGATTTTTAACCCTAATACTATACAACCATATGGACTTAATGACGATTTTGAATTATGTCATTTTTTATAAATTAATATCTCATGAATTTGGATTTATGATGATGCATACCACCTTTTTATATAGATTCTTATATATGCTTCTCATCTTATTATATATTTTTATCTTACAATTTTATATCACCAAATTAGGTTTTATCAAGTGTTTTAGATTGTATGACATGTACTATACAGAGATACACTGGAATAGTGTATATATTGAATCGCCATTATAGACATATCACACACTACCCCCTCAAGAGCAATTTTGGATGGTCACAATCTCTC